TATGTGCATGCCATACGTCCGCGTCTCGAGAATCCAATCCATCGGTGTTGGCTCGGCTTGGGGGGCCCCGGGCGTACGCGTCATGAACCTCTGTACCATGCGACGGACGTAGACAAAGAGACTCTCTATGCCATCATCGGCCGCCCCCTCGTCCGTCGTAGCGGCCTGACGAGCGACATCGTATTGCCTCTGCGTATATGCCTTATAAACGACTAACATACGTGCTACTTTAATGATCGCCGAATACTTTGTTGTATAGTCGGTAATATCCATCTAGCTACCGTCGGCCCGGATGCCTATTATAGCGAGCGTGCTCACTATCGCGTTCTCGTACTGCCCTCTCTTAAGCTGGTGGTCTAGTATGCTAACGAGCATTTTAAGTGCTACCGGCCGGAGCGTATCCGACGTAGTGTCGGAGTCCCCTTCTACCACGGCCTTGGCTAATTGTTCGAACTCGTCCTACGCATCGTACTGCCTCTCGGTGAGCCGGTACGGCGGTCTCCTGTCGTCCGGTAGCTCCTACGTCCGGAACCATACATAGAGCAAGACCCTCTAGACATCTTTATACCGTACCTAAGTATCCTCCTTAATGCGGTTATTAAACGGCCTCGTGGGCTTAATATATGCTTCCTTCCGCTAGACCTCGAATAATACGGCGTACCCGACCTTATTAGGCGTAAATATGGCCCTGGCGTACTCCAAGACCTCGTTGACCGAAGTCCACATCATATGGAGCACGTCCTCCACGGCCTCCTGGATTAGGCCGGTGGTTTCGTAGAGCTGGCTGATGCGTAGTCCACTTAGATGCTCTGCCCATCCTACCCGCTGGAGCCACGGGTTCGGCTCGAGCTTGTCGTTGGTAGCACGGATAAGATCGTCATAGCTCGCCTTGACCTGCTCGGCTTAGTTCTGCCGTAGTTAACGGAGTAGCTTGGTGGCCTGCCGTGATGCTACCTCCTCGGCGACCGCCTCCGGCGCTTGGTCTAGCGGTTAGCCACGCCCTACCTCGAACTATTAGCTCCTAGCCCGTAATAAAAAGAACCGCTAGTATAGTATACCGGACGTTTACGGTATGTTACGTTCTTAATAAGATCTCGCCCTTACGTTACCGCCCTTCTTCTAATCGTTTACCTACCCGTGATGTTTTTGGTAGTGATCCTGGATCCTTTGAGTTTGGCGATAAATATAGGAGTATCGGTGATATTGGATACCGTCCGTGCGTGGGTCGGTAAGATGGTCGATGGGGGCTGTTGATGGGTCGGGATACTGCAGCTGCGTAAGACTGGCCTGGTTCGTACGTATGCCCATTATACCAGAGATGGCCTTGACGATGCTACTACGGGTCGACGGTGGGATATGGCGGTGGCGTGTCCGTAGGTGGGTGGCTAACTCGTCACTAACCACAGCAAACTGACATGTTTTACAAATAGCGAGTGCATACTCTTCATAAAAGATAAACGGCTCCATTACTAGCGTAATTACGATAGTCTTGGGCCGTGGTAGTTGTGGGCTACTACCGAGATAAGTGGTGTTAGTCTTACATATTGGTGGATTGATGTTGACTGTGGTTGAGTTAAGATGCTGTTGGACGGGCAACTATCTTAACCACAGCATTAAACTGGACGTGGGCGCTATCTCCTCATTCGGTAGCTGCAGCGCATTCCTTATCTCGTTTAACTATACTAAACTGCTTACCACAAAGGAAACGCTAGGTAGAAATACTATGATTGGCTGCTGCCTCAGTGAGCATAGCAAGGTTATGTGATGATAGCTCTAGCGTTGATTGGTGCACTGATGCACGAGCCATCTTCACCCCATCAAATCGGCAAACACGAATCTATACAAATAGAGATAAATATTGGGTTATGAATAAAGATAAGATAAGTTCTGAACTCGCCTGATTGCCAGCTTTCGATGCATATCTATATCGTCTATTTTAGCTAAGGAAACCTCTACCAACTCTACCCCTATAATCTCTATCAACTCTACACCCTAGTATTCACGCCCCATAATTATTTTCTATAGCGTTTTCTATGAACTCTACTACAGTTCGTCGTGTCCTAGAGGTTAGGCTTACCGAGATGGATGAGGTCGGCATGCTTTATGATGTTATAGGCATGATGAACGTATGCTACAGAATGCAGATTCTATGGTTATGTATGGAGGGGTTATAGTATACTAGTTGCTGAATCAAACGGCCAAATACAAACTCGTTAAACATATGCGATTTGAGATCTTGACTGCTCTTAGCCTTTACTAGACGTCTAGCTTTGGTAGTGATGCTGTTCAAAGGTTCGACGCACGAGCCATCTGAGTAACGGCCACCCTACCGATCATTGGTGCAGCCATGCACGAGCCATCTTGACCCTATCAAACCGTCAATCACGAATCTATACATATAGAGGTGAATACTGGGTTTATAATAAAGGTAAGATCATTTCTGAGCTCGCCTAATTCTCAGCTTTCGATGCATGTCTATATCGTCTATTTTAGATAAGAAAAACTCAATGAAGCTGACCCCCTGTCGTTTCAATGAATCTGACCCCTTGTCTTTAGGGACCCATTTCTATTTCTATGGGCATTTCAATGAATCTGAGTCGGATTCATCGTTGTCTGTATGTTAGGGTCAAGCACTTTGACAGGACGACGTACGTTGAAGACGACCTACCTATGGTTCATTAACCCACCCGTCTAAAGGTTCTACTTGGGTCTCTCTGGCTGCTAAGCCTGTTTTGTTTGCACGGACAGTAGCCAACACACGTGTCTCAAGCGGAAGACCAACTCTAAGCTATCTGATGAAAGAGTCTGTTTAATACTATAACCTAGTATACCCTATAGTAACCACGCTCGTGTCCAGATAAGCTGTAACTGCATATAGTATATTTCTAGAGCTAGACTACTATTTCTATTACTGCCTGTATAGTACGACCTGGGGATGCTCCATTCTACGGAGCTTATTTAGTGCTGTCAATAAGCCTACGCCTCTCTGTACTGTAACTCCAGGACGGAACGGCAGGCTCGTGCCTCCAGACGTTTCTGTTACGTCAATTCTCAGACGATAGTTACTTCTCGTACTCCGCAGCCAACAAACTTCCTCCTAATAATAGTCTGTATGCTACTACTTCTAGCAGGCTCCGTCATTATTAACATATTACTACAATGGTTTGTGTGGTTGTAGTTGATGATATAGGCGTCTATGATATGGCCGTTCTCCAAGGCTCTATGCATTTTCTTCCACATAAAGACACAGTGAACCTTGTGGTATCTCCAGGATACATACATCTGCGCCACGTCCCCTTTCTGGACCGTTTCTAGTGGAACTGGCTGAGTGCCAAGTGGATCTAGGAACCACTCCCAAGGTTCCGAGGCAAGGAAGTCGTTAACTAGTAAGTCGTCATAGCATGCCGGTGGCAACCATGAGAATGACATGACGTCAAATCGACAGCCGAAAGAACGGGCTTCAGAGGCTGTGGCGCCACATAAAATGTTATCAAGGAGGCTTGTTGGCGCTACCGACGTCGTAGCTTGTAAGGCGTAGATGTAGGTGGTCCCGGTGAGAGTAATCAGGAAGAGTAAGGCAGCAAGGAGAGTGTAGACTGTCGGACGCTGCCGGACGACTGTGGTCTCTCTACGCTTACGAGGGGGGCCTTCGGGGATGACTAGTGAATACTGCGCCATGTTTTTCTCGGCTGACTCTCTTTCTGCCGGAGAGATCAGATGGATTGCGCCTCAGGAAATAGATCAGGCAGTAGCTTAGGGGATAAGGTTAGGTTATGCCTAAGTAAGGTGGGAGGAATCTGGTTATAGGATACGCCGTAAATCAGCCCGGATCAGATGATAGGTAGTAGATAGAGGTTTCCACAAAGAACGCGTTGGGACGACGGATACGAGGGAATACCGTCCAGGCACCTAGTACATACAAGGGCGGCCGTCCAAAAATAGACCTAGTACAACGCTAGAAAGCCCAGGCGCAGATTCAAGGTCTCTTTGTCGCCCCCAGATGCTGCTGAGGCCGGACCCCGGAATACTACTACGAAGTGGAGTTCTGGCGCTGGACGGCAAGGCCCTGCTTTGGGTAGAGGATAATAACCCTGGTTTATCCCGCTACCTCTGCTGCGGAATATAATTACGTCAAAATTGAATGCCTTTACCTTCCTATTACAGTAACTACCTGCGGCAAACCGCGGCCCTGGAGCCTATCCACTAGACGCATCTCTGTTGGAAGGACCTGTTGGAGCGCTGCTGCCAAGGGTGGCCCTGGCGGCGGGGATCCAAGTGGGACTGAAGAGGACAGGGAGGATGGGAACGCAACCAACGGAAATGACGGGGGACGAGAACGCGACGGAGGCTGTTCTTAAGAGTCCTCTCGCCTGATAGCTTGTCTTCGAATCCTGATTCTCTAGGCAGAGTTCTTCCTCGTAGACTGAATATTTATCCCTCAGGGTATTGAGAACTCTTTTTTCCTTCTAATATGGATTCTACTAAGGAGTATTCTCTCTTGGCCGAGGACCTGCGTTCTAACTCATCTGGGGACCTCGATTTCGATGAGGCGACGCTGTGTCGCCCTGCGACCCGGAACCCTCGATCTTGGCCTGCCAGACTGGCTGGATTCGGCTACGGCGCAATATTGGTTCTCGCCCTGCTGCTGGCCTTCTATTTAGGGTGGATACTGTCTCCAAAGTCCCCAGGAAAGGTACATGTTGATACGGCCTGGTGTAAGTTGTCCTCATAGCTACCTTCCACCCGGCAAAAGTTTACTCACGAACGATACAATTATGTCCTAACAGCCGAATTAAAGAGTCAAATAAGACGTGTTCCATACACCTTTGACCCCCATTTCGTAACGCCCCCTTCGGAGTATATGGGACAGCCAAACCCGGAGTTGGATAAGAAATGGTATCATCTTGCAGGACGTAGGGCGCCGGTATTCGTTATTGTTGGTATCACAGGCGTGATACATTTCCTCATGAGGGTGTATCTTCGGCAACAATCACGTCGATGTCCGTGATAATTGCTGTAGTTGTTCTTCCTATTTACATTGTGGGCAGGGGTCGGTCGAAGTAGGTGGTGACGGCCTGGGTGGTTGCCCCACCTTAACCGGCCGTGATGACTAAGCCGGTTGTCGCACTTCGCCCAGGGCAGGCGCCAGCCAGCCCACGATACCTGCCCATTGCTCCTTATCAGCCTTGCCGTTCCGACAGTTATGTACCTTAAAATATAGCTAACTCGACTGTGTAGTGCGTAACTTTGCGGTTGACCAAGAGACTCTGGCTCGCGCAAATAAGTCAAGGGCCGCCGTACAATGGCCTGGTACCCAGAAGTATCAGGCTGGCCTGGAAGCCTTCCACCAGTTACATTGTCTAGTACGTTTATACGCCATCTTGGCCCTACGGGCATAAGAGGGGCTCGGGGCTAACGTGCTTCAGAACTATATCCGGATGTATACGTATATGGACTACTATAGTAAGATAGACTTCGATATGCTCCAGGAACCGCTTGAGGAGCGAACCGAGCACAAAGGTACGTCGTCCCGGCTCTATGCGACATGGTGGCAGTGTGCTTACGCTACCACCTAGATCACTGTATCGACGTACTCCGTCAGCAATTGATGTGTGCACCCGACCTGAACATTTATACGTTTCATTGGACTAAGCACTCGCCTGTGCCATTCTTCGATTTAAGCACGAACCACGAATGTATTGACTGGGAACGGTTCGACTCGTGGACTACTGGGCAGATGGTCCACGAGGGTGTCCCTCAGAAGCCTGCTGATCATGACGATTTTTTGGACTAGTATGATAAATGGGTCTGCTCTGTGGAGCCTATTCCTTGTTGGTTACGAGATATCTCAACTAAAGGCAGGCATAAGTTACTATTTCTCTTTCTCGTCGTTTTATATATTATTATACGGCGCCTCTCTATAGCCTTTTATACTGCCTTATAAGAAGATATACTTGCTCTACTAGCGTTTATCTACCTTAATCTCATGATCTCGTCAGGTATGCGGGGTCCCTAAGCTTTCTTATAGCGGTTACTCCTTCCGTAGGCACTATGCCATAGAAATCCCGCAATTCGGTGGCTAAGTAACGGTTACGAGGTCTGTCGGATAGCAACCCTAGGTATACGGTGGCGTGAGCTGTAGGTTAGAACTGTTGGTTCTTTTGGCGACGTTGGCACAATATGCAAAGCACCCTTGGCACGCTAAGCTTTTCTAGCCGCTAAAGGGTGTGCTCGGTAGTGGGTCCTAGGGCTAGTTTTGGCTTGGCAATTGGCCATAACGACGGCGCAACCAACGGTCTGCGGCCGTCTCGAAGGAGGACCTGGCGAATCGGATAGTACAAAAGACCGGTCCAACGTACGGTTTACTCCGGACCGAGTGGTCATCTTATGCGTGTTGGTGAATCTTCCAACAACGCGGGGGCTCAGTCCCACAACCGCAGATTACCTCCTTTCCTTACAGTATCTCATTATTCATTCATTATCGCCTGTTCCCCGCCGGTAGTGGGGCGAACCAATCTGCCCGCTTTCGGCGGTTGGCCCGCTTATGAAGAATACCGTTACTACCTACCTAAATAGTACGGGTAGTTAATAAGGATAGCCTCGGTCTAGCGCGGCGTAATAGATAGTAAACGCCTTTTTAGTAAAATACGTCTACTTATATTTAGAAACCTATTCTCTCGCGCCGTTCTTGGTACTAAACTTGCTAAGGAGCTACGTAGGACTAGACCTCTTGTTACGATGAATGATCAGAGGTACGAGCAGCGGATGGAGTTTGTTAAATCAATTCTCCATCAGAACTGTCTAGAGGTATAGTAATGCCTTTTCTACGTTTAGGAGTAACTACTAAGTATACGTTAGGCCGAGAGCATTGAGCCTGTCGAATATGACATCAACAGCCCGTTCCCCTACAACAACTTCATATACCGCGTCACCCTTTCATCCCCCACAAGCACCACAATACAAATCATAAGCCTCCATTCCGAAACGCCTCGGCCGGGCACTGTACCATGTCCGGCCGGTACAACGTCTCTTATGGTCCGGCTAGCGAATTCAGACCCTCGGACTGGCATCAACAACGCTAACCGGGTCGAGAGTGAAGTCGCTTTTATAACCCTTGCGCGACAGGCACTTGCGGCGTCTAAGTATAGCCGTGTTGTTCCGGACGTCTATGCGTGGGACGGCATGTCTGATGGTCAGGGTTTCAGTATGCAACAGTGTATGCCTGGGGCCATACCCGAGAGAGCAGGGTTTAACGATTTCTCCCTACGGGATAAGGTAGTCCTTCTTGGACAAATGGCTGATATCCTGGCTCTACTACAGGACTTTAAGGTCCCGAAGACGGTAGACCGCTTTGGGGGGTTGAGGTTTGATCAACACGGGGACGTTATTAGCGCGCAGATGACTATGTTTACGGGTGAGCCTTCTGTGACGTACGTAGACTTCCTACGTAACATATTCAGAGTTAAGCTCAGGGAGGCCGACGAGAACCCTGTGATACAAGGTTGGATGGAGGGCGGGGTACGGTCGAGACTGGACGAATTCATCGATCGCCGTCTCCCGGAGGCCCTAGTTGACCACGAACCGCGAAAGGCTCTCGTCCACGCTGATCTAAGTGAGTTATCCGCCTGCGACTTATACTATAATGGACGAAGCCTAATAATAAATTCGTCTAGCTACCAACAATCTGCTGTTCGATCCCAGCACCCTTCAGGTAACTGCCCTGCTGGATTTCGACTTCTCTTACGTCGGCACGGCGGCAGACGAATTTATGGGGTTCTCCTTTGGCAACATCTGTGGTGGTACACTTCCAGGGCTGTACGAAGGCGCGTCTCAGCTGGCCCTTCGCCGGGCGATGCTCGACGGTTTCCCAGAGACCCCCCCAGAACTAGACCCGTCAGAGGTTCAGTGGGACCTCGCCGAAGCGTGGGATAAAGAGCTTGCCCGCGCAGGTGCGGCTAGGCCCCGCACGATATCTCGCTTCAAAGAGATTGCAAACATTTACGGGCTCCAAGATAAGGTGAGCCCCTTCGAGTTGGATAATCCGATGATGAGGAAGCGGATGACAGCGGAGCAATTGAAGGAGGCCCGAAGGAGTACGGAAGACTTAATTATCAAGTTTCTTGGGACGTAGAAGCCTGTCTTCGAATGATAGTCCTAGTTTCTTTCACAGAGTAAGTAGTAATGTATATACTACTAGTATAGTTTCTTTTATTTGAAATACGTATTCGCCTTGTACTATGTTACGGCCAGCTAGTCGTAGGGGTAGTTTGCAGAAGTTGAGGCTGCGGAACTGGTAACAGTAATCGTAGTCGGGGATAGCTTCAGGGAAGCTATGTCTGTCAATCGTAAGGGTAGGTAAGGCTTCGGTGATCAATCGTAGTCTTGTCAAGGTAGTAGCTGAAAGCGGATGTTAATCCTGATACGAAGTTAATTGCTGAAGAGCTATGGAAAGTCTGTCCTAGAGTCCAGCTCAAGTCCATCCTTATATACAAGTCCTGATCCTGAACATGTCCCTTGTCCCTTGGGTCGTCTTGGGTCATTCTGATCCAGAATGATCGTTTAGCCCCCAAGTCGTGTTGGATCATATTGATCCCAAATGATCCTTATCTTATCATCACGTGACTTGTACCATAGTTCTTCCGTTCCGTGAGAGGGTGCCTAGTGTCCCTTATCTCCTGCATATGTGGTGTATTATAACCGCCGCGAGCCTGCGGGGCAGGCCCTGTTCTTGGTCATGCATGTTGGGTCGTAACATACTACTGGCATTGAGGCTATTATAGTTATAGATCTACTAGTGGTATTATTTATTAGCAGGAGCCTCAAGCTTCTTACCCTATCTTAGTCCTTTAGTTATATCTAGTTTATATCTTATAATAACTAAGCTATTATATAGTATCGCATTTAGTCGCTTAAATGATAGATATCTAGGCTACTACTATTGGATATAATATTAATATAAGTTATAACGTTAACTAGTTAGTTATAGTAAGTAATAATAACGAAGCTCTACTATGAATAAATTGGAATAGTTATAGTTAGTTAACTTCTTTTATAGCTAATTAATCTTAGCGGCAGAGGAAGATTCCTAGACGTAGTTCTCACCCGTAGATAATACTAGCACAACGATCTACCCAAATCTTATCTTGGCTATAAAAGACCATACTAATAAAGTCGTCCGGCCGTTTTATAGCGGCGCGTAGCTCTCGAAAAATATCGAGGAGTTCATCTCGTAGACGGAGCTATAAGTCCGTATTTCGCGGGCTGTCCCGTTAGCTCTTAGACGTTACCCAGCCTAGTTCTCGGAGTATACGGTTACTATAACCCTTCTACTCTAGCGCCGTATTAATATTTAATACCGGATTAAAGAATTATTATTACGTACCGATTTTCTTCGTCATTTCGGCAATATCGTACGCCGTGCCGCTCGCGCTCTTTGCCCACGGGAAGGACGCTAGGTAAAAAAACTCTATTACATACATAACTATAACAAAGACAAGCTGCCCCGGGCTCTTCCGCTTCGGGGCCGTATTAAATATCCGGGCGGCGGGCGCGACCTCGGGCGTCTCGGAAGAGGAGTAGACGGTTAGGATAATTATAAGTATTAAATAGTAGAATGTTTCGTCGATATTATTGGCAAGGTAGTTCATAGTAAGCTGGTAGTGGTCGAGTACCTTAGCATCTCCCTCATTAGAAAAGATAGCCTTCGCCTAGCTAAAGCCGGATAGGACGAGTACCGGGATGTTAGTAAAAGGGACTAGGTAGCCGAAGTCGATGTATAGATGGCGCTCCCGACGCTCGGCCCGGTCCCTTAATGTCTTCTCGTACTTGATCTCTGCCTCCTGCGCCGCCCGCTGTAACGAGCCGGCTGCGCTAGTCGGGGCCGAGGCGGCGCCGGCCTTACCCCCGAGCTGTATTATGCTTCTTAAGGTAAGCTAGCTACGGACCGGACCCGGCACCTACTCGATACTAGCGATAAGAAAGTAGCCCGTGAAGACGGCCTCCTACGTCGCCGTATCGACGCTACCGCCCGGGGACGAGCAATCATTAACAATAGCGAAATATAGCGTCGACGGCTACGTTATATTCTTGGCCGTAAACGAGTCTCTACCGGCGTCGCCACCGACAACACGCAACAGCTCCAAGGTGAAGTCCTGCCGCGCGCTCGCCGCCGGGCCTCAGGCCGCGACAGAGCCGCTGGAGAGCCTTCCAGGTGAATGCGTCACCGGCTGCGTCCCAGTCCGCCAGGGCCTGCTCGCACGCCGCAACGGACTCCATCAGAATAGGTACGCCCGTATCGCCGGTTCTGCCGGCGCCGCCCTCGTAAAGGCGGCGCCTAAGCTACTACACCATAAAGACCTTAGTTTACGGCACCCACAGCTCGCGGACGAGCTCCTCGGCAAAGCAGCGACGGCCGTCTTGCTCCTTATCGAGCTATCTCTCCTCCTCCGAATCCTCCTCCTCAGACTCAAACTCTTTCGAGTCATCATCGCCCTCAACGGCAGGGACAGAGCCCTGCGCATCGCTCTCCTGGGGAGGGAGAGAGGAAGAGGCCCCCGCAACAAGGCCCCGGAGGACCTCGTGCTCGCGCGCACGCTCGCGCTAGTCGACCTAGAGGCGGGCGGCGCGGCCGGCTTCCTAGAGAGACCAGGTGCCAGTTTCTTCGACTGAGATCATATTTAGCAATCGGCGCATCAGAAACATGGTCAAAATTGCGAAAACTTACTGTATCAAGAATCAGCAAAGGAAACGGAGCCGCTGGCGCTCTGGCGCAGTTGGAAGTCAATACTCACGACTCTGCGATGGGTTGAAAGGGAGAAAAGAAAACAACAAACTCGCCAGGCTGCGAGAAATTGGATATACACAAGGGCGGTCGATGGCAACCGCCCTTCACAGGCAACGACCTACGAGCTATTCCGAATGCGGGAATCCCTTCACTTCAGATGAATAGGTCGGCACAACAAACGCGTGTCACCACGTCCATCACCCCTTACGCGATTTGCTTTGTTTACACTGCGGCCAAATCGGGCCTTCTCGAAGCTATTCAGAGATCCCATCCCGTATGGGCAATTGTCCTGTATACAGGCCAATTGGGGGGTGTGTCACGAAACAGGAATGGTATCAGCACTTGTCAAGCATCTTGCCACGTGCTTTCTCACGTGGATATCACACTCTCTTAGTATATAGACTGCTCTCATGTGCTCATTCTAGATGGGTTACTTCAAGCCACTTTAACCCACTTCATATGCCCATTGCTGCGTGCCATAACTCGTGACAATAGCTCTATAGGTCTTCGCCTGGGTCTTCCCTTATAGCACTATAAAGGCAAAATACTAGTGGTTGGGCGGAGAGGAGATGCCAGTCGGTTTGTGTAGTGGTGATAACCCGGCAGATGTGATGTGATGCGCAGGGCTCTTCTTTTGCGCCGTATCGGACGATCGGTTATTGATTACGTGGGGCGGCCCCCTGTTCTTACATCTACACATCCCGGACTTGCTGCAGGCCAGTCTTGCCCACCCTTTATCGAAGCTGTTGAGCGGTGCCTACTCCTATATTCGTCCCGGTATGGGCCTGAAAACCTGATATCATATTCCTACCGCATCTTGGCCCCTCGGCGCCTTCCTGGGTCTGTTGGCATTCCGGCTTTAGTGCCCAGCTTCCAGTGGGGGAGATGCTTCCTGGCGCCACCCTCGCCATTACCACTACGGCCACCCATATCGACCGTCGGCTCTGGCGACCCTTGGGCTTCTAAGGGCGGCGAGCCTTTCTCTAATAGGGAGGCGGTTAATAGCGACGAGGCTACGTCGTCCTACCCGAACCGGTAACGGCTACGTATACCTACCGGGGGTTCCGGTAGTTTCGGTTCGGCTTAGCTACTAGTACTGCCCTTTACGGGTTCGGTATTACCGGTATTAGAATCCGTAATAGTACCTCCCGGGCCAGGGGGTGGTGACTCGGCGGCGCGGCTACTTAGTATTAATATGTTGTTAGGGAGGCCTACGATAAGCGCCTCGATCTTATATTAGAGGTCTGAACGTATAGCGGCGTCATATAGCCCGGGGCGGTCGGCGGCTAGCCGGAACACATCTACATAAAACGTCCGCACTAGCGCTGAGACCTGTTTCTGATGCCCTCTCTGGCGCGTCGTGTGGGCGGTCTGCTACTCCGGGCGGAGTGTGTGGCCGTCTACGTCGGTGACACGCCTCACAAGGCGTAGAAGGCGGGCCCAGGAGTCGAGGGTAAACCGGTCGGCATAGGCCGGACTGTTAACGAGTAATATATTATCGTTAATAAGCGTCTTGGCCTCCTCCGTTGCGGTAAACTCGTTGATGTGATCCTGGACAAAGTTAAGGACGCGCTACTATAGCTGTTGCGCCGCCGCTGCCGAGGCGGTATGGCCCTTGACGCTACGAGACCGGCCGATCTTGCCGAGCGCGTCTAGTAGGTGCTCTCGTAGTAATGGCTTATTTTGGGTCTTAGGGTTTACCTCGTTAACGGTGACGGCGCTATCCTGGTCGATCTAGGCGATGGTGTACTGGAGGATACGGACCGCTGTTTGTGCGTCGGCCTTCTTGGTACGGAGGAAGCGCCGTAGGTCGGGGAAGGCGAGCTCGGGAGCGGCCGCAATGGCCTCGCACACGGCGCCGTATCTGACGTCGTCCAGGAATGCGAGCAGGCCTTCGTCCCGCCGGGCGCGACGGCCGCCCTCGTCCTTAAAGAAAAAGGATTCCACTGCGTCCCGTAGTCGGCCGACCCCTCCGAGACCTGCTACCATCCGGTGCTAGTTGGCCTGCCCGGGTTCGCCGTACCCGTCGAGCGGCAGGGCCTCGATGGTGCGGAGTACCGTATCCAGCGTCGAAAACCAGTAGTCGTCGACCCGGAGCCGGGCCATCCATTCGAACGTCGAGATACTGAAGGTCTCGAGGCCTAGCCTTATACGGTACTATCTCGTCGTCATGTCCCGCCATCCTTAGTAGTTCTATAGCGTGACCAGCCTTCGTATCGGGAAACCCTTCTCGCTACCTAGCCGTAGCGCCTCTACGAGCTTGAGATCACTATTAACACGCCCGCGCCGGAGCGGCCCTTCGGCGTCGCGGCCGATCGATACCAGCTGCGTCCAGATCTGGCCGTGGGTGTCGGCTTGGCTTGGGTCCCTCCGGTTGACTCGTAACTTGAGGTTGAGGTCGGATAGTAGGCGGTCTAGCTGCCGTTAGCCTTCCCGCCGCGCCCGCTTACCCGTGGGCGGTACCGGTTGGTTGCCCACCTTGGTCGTAGAGCTCGCACGTCCACCATAGGTCCGACGCCGACCCGCCCGTCTCCTTCATATACGCCCGGAGGGCCTCGATGCGGTGCTGGCCTGCCATCACCTCGGGCGTGCTACCGTTCACCGCGGCCCAGCCGAGAAAGTCGTCCTCGCCGCCCCGGTCGCTCCCTAGCTACGCGCTTTATATATAACGGACCTCCTCGGCGCCGTAGAGTACGAGGATACGGTATTTTAAGGCGCGGCGTTCTAGACCGCTCCTCTTAAAGACCTCCTTTAGTTCGTAAGCATGCCCTACCTCGAGCGGGCGGTTCTTACCGACGCTCCACCTCGTCCCGAGCGTATCGACTAGCATCTTGGCCACGGCGAGTAGGTAGGGTCTGGCGCGCTCCCGGACTAATTCGCTCTCGCTAAGGAAGGTATCCTCTTTCGTCTAGCGTTTTCGGTTGGGCGCCGCCTCGGCAGCGTCCCTTGCCCTTCTCTTCCGCTTCTTCTCTATTGTTGTCGTCTATGGCATTGTGGTGGTGATAGTTGGTTTCCTCTGGGGTTCTGACGAGGTGGGTATGGGTTAGCCTAGGCTTTTATTATATACGACCATGTTAAAGAGTCTAGGACCGGGCAGGTGCTGGTAGGGGTCTCTGCCTGCTGATTGGTCGCCTTGGGCTACCGACGTATGGAGCGCGATGCCTCCGGGTGGGTCGCCGCCGGGTCCGCTCCGCCGCTGGCTTCCTATAGCCGGCTTTGAGGGCAGGCTTTGAGGGCAGGCTTTGAGGGCAGGCTTTGAGAGCAAGCGCTGGCCCTATCTAGTATTGAACACCCTAAGGTTGTGGATAGGATTCACCTTCATCGTGTGAGCTTGCATGTTAGGAGGAGCTATAATATAGCCATTTACCTTATCTTGGTCTGGCTAGAGCCCGTCTCGGCACTTCTACCTGTCCTTAACACCTCTATCCAGTCGATTACCTAGATCAAACAGATAAAGCGCTTATCTAGTAGGGAAAGACCCATCTAGTCAGCTTCAGGCTACACTAGTTCACAATTATACGACATACTATATTTCACCGTAGTGTAAGTTACTGCCTCCCAGGCCCAGCTCGTCAACAGTCCTTTTATATGCGCGCATATGCTAGCTGTAGTTGAATTGCTAAAGGTTAGGAAGGCTCTGGTATGTTGTTGCATGGTAAGCAGTTCGTTGTGGGAGAAAAAGCTTTGCCTAACATTATTTCATCTTCACTTTGCTCTTACTTTTACATTCAATTATACACTTTTATTCATCACATAGCTAGCCGTACTTCACTATATCAATATAAGAACCTAACAACTACTAAAACAACATTCTGTGAATCATTTTCTACCTACGTATCTACTCTTACTCTAGTGTGGTGGTGTGCCTGCTGCGATATGCCTCCTTTGACGCTGCTCTCTTTGACTGCTGGCTGGGTGCAGTTGAAGCATCACGCGCGGAAGCGGAATTACTAATCCCCATATCTGCCGGCGAGCTGCGCTACAGTCTCCCTCGCTCCATCAGTAGCCCCACGTACGCCCCTGCTCTGCCTCCCCATGTTGATAACCACTCTCCCCTTACCACCATATAGCCAACTTCTCATCCCCCCTCTTCCGTCATCTATCTACCTTACTTCAAGTAGTATTCTTACGCGTCGCAATAGCTCCTTTACCTTCCTTCCTTACTATGCTTATCTTTATTAGTGTCGGTTTGCCTGCTACTAGCAAGGAGAATATAACGCATCTTATGGCTATACGGTACATCCTCTCCAAACGCGTTAGGCAAGGTATTGCTTTTTGCGACGCTATACCCGTTTAGTTTAACGCGTTTCAGCTACCTATTCGGTCTATTGACAGCCTGTTGTCGACCGTATTGTTCTGGTCGCGTCCTTATTGTTCTGGTCGCGTCCTTCTTCCTCTTCTTCTTCTTCCTATCTTCCTCTTCTTCTTCTTCCTGTCTTCCTCTATAGGTTCCTTTTACTCTTCTCTATCCTCCGTTCGCGCTCGTCCGTCACGCCTGCTGCTGCTCTAGGTGCAACTCCTCCTTATCCTTCTTTATTTATGTTGATGTAAAGGCTTCTTTTCTTGAATCTCTACATATACCGCGTTCAGGTAATTATCTATTAACGTCCTCTTTTTATTTCAACGATGTGTTTTAGCTTAAGTCCTCAGTATGAGGTTTTTACCTTAGGGAGCTTTCCGTGGGCTGGACGCACGCGCGCGTAGCAAACAGACTCCTCATAATAAGGTAACTATGCATATCTCTGTTTTGTCCTGGGGGCATATCTTGTTCTGCACCTGGGGGCATATCTCTGTTCTGCACCTGGGGGCAGATGATCAGTTCTGCCCCTGGGGGCATATCTCTGTTCTGCACCTGGGGGTAGATGATCAGTTCTGCCCCTGGGGGCATATCTCTGTTCTGCACCTGGGGGCATATCTTGTTTTGCCCCTGGGGGCATATCTCTGTTCTGCACCTGGGGGCATATCTCTGTTCTGCCCCTGGGGGCATATCTCTTTCTGCACCTGGGGGCATATCTTGTTTTGCCCCTGGGGGCATATCTCTGTTCTGCCCCTGGAGGCATATCTCTGTTTTGTCCTAGGGGCAGATGGAAACACCTAAAGGCTTTTATACCTAGGTAACGTCAAGATAATATAGTCACTGGTTTCATCATTACGTAGTGTAATAGTAGGTACTTAATATAGAACTACCGTAGATACCATATTCTTACTATTAAATCTAATGTTACGAGCTGGACAAGGCAACCAACTGTGGCACAAAGCAAAAGCTTCGATAATGATGACCTACGTCCCTAAGCCTCTCCTCCCTCCCTCCCTCCTTCCCAACCTTCCCCCCCCCCTCCCCCAAGGCTGGCCCTAACCCGAGGGGGCCGGGGCCGTGGGCGGCGGCTAAATATGCTCAGGCCGTAATATGCTCAGGCTGTATGTGATGCGTGTATTGATGCATAGATGGAAACGTAAAGCGGCGATGATGGGCGGTCTTTGGCCAGGGAACAGAGTTACCATTCAGTTCTGTTGGTTCACGGGGTCGTATACGACAAATAGTGGTAGCAATTATCACTCGTCTGTTGGTGATCCTATTGCTTGTTCGTCTTGGTTTTTCTATCTTACATTGTAGGCAGGAGTCGGTCGAAGTAGGTAGTGACGGCCTGGGTGGTTGCCTGACGGAAACTATATGTACCCACAACTACCTAAATGCAGTAGAGGGATCTCTCCTTTGTATATGGCGCAACGGTACAATTTCGAATTCTGTCATTGCCCCACCTTTATCCGGCCGTGATGACTAAGCCAATTGTCCCACTTCGCCCAGGGCAGGTGCCAGCCAGCCCATGGTACCTGCCTATTACTCCTTATCAGCCTTTGCTGTTCTGTCACGAAACAGGAATGGTATCAGCACTTGTCAAGCATCTTGCCACGTGCTTTCTCACGTGGATATCACACTCTCTTAGTATATAGACTGCTCTCATGTGCTCATTCTAGATGGGTTACTTCAAGCCACTTTAACCCACTTCATATGCCCATTGCTGCGTGCCATAACTCGTGACATGTTCCAACAAGTTCTAATAACTCAGTCTCCTACAAACCTGCCTACGGGCATCACGATACTAGCGAGAAGGTCTTACTAATGCGCCCGACCGTCCAAGCCGTGTGCCTACATGTACTACTATATTAGATCGCATTTCAAGAAAACCCCGGTCCGCCATGAAGGCTGGTTTACAATGACGGGCAGTACTGCGATATAAACCAACAAGTACGGCTGCATCTTAACTAGGATTGGAACGGTACTTCGAAGAGTACGCCGAGGGCGCTTGATGCGATCGCTGAAAGTGGTGGCAGGACCTCAAGGCGATTGGGTGCAGATGCAGGCTACCCCTCCGCAGTAGCACAGGTCATTTCGCCTTGGAAACCCATCCAAAGAGCTTCTTACTAGGGTCTTGGAGGGACCGCTGAGGACAGCCTACTAACCGGCAAAGAGTGGCTGACGAGGATACGAAGCAGCAAGGCAGATTTTCTCTTAGGGTGTCGGAGAGGCTTAGTGCAATTGGTGCCCTCCTTTGGTGAGCGAGTCGTCCCCGTCCAATAATTACTCAAGAGCTGGGATAGGTGAGTTTTGCCTGGAAGTCTCACCGGCATATGCATTGTTACCTGAATATACAGCATCTTATTACTTATCAGCCACTGTTCGTCTTTACTGACTCAACTACAATGCATGTCTCGACGATACGTTGCGTTAGCGCAGATTGTACGACGATGACTGGCTTCTGTGTAGAGTGACCTGTGGGCTGACAGCACCGTAGCCGCCCTGTTTTGAGAGACTTGCCACTGGCCAGTCTCCAGAAAACCCCTTCACCTCTTTCGTGGAGCGCCGCCGAGTCTTATCGGTGGTTGCACACCCTTCACCGCCCACATCGACGATCCGTTGTTGTCTGGTGCAGTCAAGGCTCTGCAGTGAACACGACGGCCGCCATCTCGGCGGGTGGACTACAGAGCCTGCAGCAGCGATTCATTCTCGAGTCATCCCCTTACTGCAGCTCCCCAGCGAGGACCTTAAAATGAGATGCTAAGGTCTGTGAAATGGGAATAGAAAAATGGTAGCTAAAAGCCATTTCGAGCAGGGCTGCCAGGCTTGTTTCCTTCTTGAAGAGGGGGCGTGTAATGTGGTCAAACGGCGTGTGGTCTCTGCCTTGGCGACACTACCGGCTGCTGTTCTCCGCGACGCGCATAACCGCTATCACACGTAAGCATTGGCCGTAAAACGCCTTACCAAAGCCTGCTGCTCTGAGATCAAGGTAAGGCTGTGCCCTAGTGCCCATCTAGAGGACGTACCGAAAACATATTTTAACAACAGTATCGCCATTCATCAAGCCTCAGCTGCCACCAAAGTGCTCCCCCTCCACAAAAGCACAATGGCATCCTTAAGGCGACTTCCGAACCCTCAGATGTACACCATCGGGTGGATCACCGCTCTTGACAAGGAGCTCACCGTAGCGCAGGCTGTGCTTGACGAAGAGCACCAAAAGCCGGAAAACTTCAGAAAACACCCAAAAGATACAAATAACTATATCTGGGGTCGCGTCGGAGACCACAACATCGTTATTGTTGGTATTCCTTTCACAGGGAATTTGGTTCGAACCGTAGGGTCCTTGGGGTGACGAAGTATCAATATCTCTATATTGATTGATTCTGCGTAAGGAGTAGAAGGGAGATTCCAACCGGAGGTTGGGTGGGTAGTCGAGGTCTAATTGTACTCGTTCGAGGTGGCCCATGCTCTGCCCTTACTCGCGGTCGAATTGGACTTCTAATCCGACAGTATCGCTGAGGTCCTCGAATGTTGCTGCATTATCGTCTAAAGAGCTTCCTGTCTGGGTCTCGAATTGGGAAGGGTGATTTCCTTTTTATATACTACGATCTGGTCAGTATAGAGAACAGAAACTAGAAGGATTACTATATTAGTATTCCTTATTAGCCTGGCGGAGTTGGTCTTTCTGCCTGGCCTGTGTTACGAGCAGGACAAGGCAACCAACTGTGGCACAAAGCAAAAGCTTCGATAATGATGACTCCGGCATCATTTTCCCTTGTTCTGCATTGTATAGCTACGCGCCCACAGTGACAAGTTGCGGCGGGCGTAACACCCTTCTAGCAACTAGTCCGAGAGGTTACCTAGAACACTAAGCATGCCGAGCATAAAGGTAGCCTTTGTATTTAAGCAAGCGCGTTAGAGGCGCTACAGGCTGCGTCTAAAGATTGATTAACGTCTGTTTTTAAAAGTAAGCTATCTTAATTTATTAGTTTTTATTTACTAATCATCTTAATTTCGAACTTAGCTGCTATCTATACTAAACGTATTACTATCTAGTAAAAAGATATAGTCCTAGTAAAGAATATCCTTACGATAAGAGACTACCTTAGCATAGTTTAGCGTGCCGATATTACGGATAGTGAGTAACGATTCTATCCCATCGAGTGCTGACTGACGCCATTTTTGCCAAGGGCGGGGTAGAGCCAATTAGGGGTTGGAAATCTATAGAGTTAACCAATAGGGTTACAGTACCTCTATTGCCTACATATTCTGCGTATGCCAGAGGTACCAACAATTCCCCTGGGTACATAAAGGTACGTTACAGTCTAAGCAGCCCTTCCTCGTATATTTACGCCGCGTGAGGGTATTCCCAGATATCTCGCCTAGAGTCTGGCGGTTTCTTATTGCCCTCAGATTACTACAATAAGAGCAAGGCGAATTAACCTTCCGTGACCCTTTTGTATGCTGTTCCCATGGAATAGAGGTATTCCTCATGTCTGTAAGTCTAGGTCGTGATAGTCTACGCCCGCCTGCTAATGGTCCAAACCGTTGAATAAGCTGGGCTGCTAGTAACTGCCGCCAATGATAGTTGGATTCCACCTTCTGCCACCTAGGGCTACCCCAGAGCTGTAATAAGAAGCTATTCACAACTACTACTTCCAGCAGGAAATTCCAGGCTAGGGACTGCCAGCCCCCTCGCCGAATAGGGTGACCGTATTGATAATAAGACCTCATCTGGTCACTCACATCAACCCCATTCATCTTGTGGTTGTATTCATCGATTGCCCTAGGGACTGGAAGGTCCTTGCGGACGTCTGGGCCAAACACTTGCCGGGCAGCCTTTTTAGCAGCAGTATCCCCAGCTGGGCGGCGGCGGCTTCGAATAACCTCCTGGCTGCTCTGGAAGACAGTTGACAGGAATAGTACGAGGGCATTATCCTTCCAGGTGAACTGGTTGACCTATTCACTATTTAACTAGGCTGGGCTGGGCTCGGCTGGGCCTGGCTGGCCTGCGCCCGGCCCCGGCCCCGGCCCTGGCCCCCGCGCTGGACGGGCTGGACGGGCTCGTCGGGCTGGCTGGGCTGGAATTCCGCAGTATTGAATATCCGCAGTCGCCGGAACAGTAGTTGGAAACGGTCCCGGGATATAAACCGCGTAAATAGGTGGATGGGATCCTCCCTCTGCTGTTGGGTTGACCAGTAGGTTGATAATCTAGATTCCCTATGGATCCCTATATATAATAAGATCCCTAGGCAGAGGTAGATCTCTTCTATTGAGGTCTCCCGCCACTTATACACTCTAGACGTTCTAAGCCAGGGGCCCTCTTTAGACGACGGCGGTGCTGTATTCGTCCACTGGGCCCACTGCTCCACGAGGTCTTGCGGAACGTATTGGAGGAATAGTTCCAGCGGGCTTGCCGGCAGCCCCCGGACCTCTTGGGCCCGGGCTGGTACTTCAAGGGTCGGAAGGAGCCCGGAGGGCCATGCTCGGTAGCCGGAGGTTCACAGGGCCGGACTGTGGCTTCGTCACAGCCGTCTGGCTTACAAGCTGTATTACAAGCAGCAGCTAGGTCTTCTGGGTAGACCTCAACTACTATAGTGCTGAGTACAGAAGTAACAGAAGTTTTAGAAGCAATAGAGGTATTGGAAGCAATAGAGGTATCAGAGTCACTAGAAGACATTGCAGCATCAATTGAAATGCTAGTAATAGTAGTGATAACAGGTAAAAGAGCATAGTGGTAAATGTTGTATCGTCAATGTACCCCTTTAAATGCGGGGTAATAAAGTGTAAATAGTGGTGTTACGCCCGCCGCAACTTGTCACTGTGGGCGCGTAGCTATATAATGCAGAACAAGGGACAATGATGCCGGAGTCATCATTATCGAAGCTTTTGCTTTGTGCCACAGTTGGTTGCCTTGCCCAGCTCGTAACAAGTGGGGATTTTGGGGCTTGGCAAAAATGGCGTCAGTCAGCACTCGATGGGATAACTATATAATAATTATAGTTATATAATAAGTTAGTTAACCAATTGTTAGATCTTATTAAACAACGAAATATAAATAATAAAATAAGTTATAAGCGGTCATTGTTGTTTACTAGTCGTTACCCGATTAATGTTACGACCCAACACGCACGACCAAGTCCAGGGCCTGCCCCGCAGGACCACGGCGGCTACGGCACACCATAAGTGCACGAACTATGGGAACACATGCGTCACCCTACGGAACGGAAGAACTATAGAGCAAGTCACGTGATGATAAGATAAGGAAAGCCGTATGCCAAGAATACGGAGTCCGTCCCTTTGAGGTACGGACCCCGTATGTTCAGAATACGGAATCTGTACGGTAAATATACGGATAAAGGATATGTTCAAAATTAAGACTTGTATATAGGACGGACTCGAGCCGGGCTCTAGGACAGACTTTCCATAGCTCTTCAGCAATTAACTTCGTATCAGATCTTGTGATCGCTTTCAGCTATCTTCCCCGAGAACCTCTTTGACAAGACTACGATTGATCACCGAAGCCTTATCTACCCTTACGATTGACAGACATAGCTTCCCTGAAGCTATCCCCGACTACGATTACTGTTACCAGTTCCGCAGCCTCAACTTCTGCAAACATACCTCACTACGACTAGCTGGCCGTAACAACTAGACGTCTAGCTTTAGTAGTGATATAGTTTAAAGGTTCGACGCACGAGCCATATATATAACAGCCACCCTACTAATGATTAGTGCAGCAATACACGAGCCATCTTAACCCCATCAAACCATCAATCACGAGTCTATAGATATAGAGATAAATACTAGGTTTATAGTTAATAGAAGTAAGATCATTTCTAAACTCGCTTAATTTCCAGCTTTCGATATATATTTATAACGTCTATTTTACCTAAGAAAACCTTATCGGATTCTACCCTATATCTTTACCGTCTCCACTTCATTTTCTATAGTCTTTTCAACGGATTCTACTACAATCCATTGCTGCCAGTATGTTAGGTCTGCGGCGATCAATAAGATGGAAAGGAGTTGGACGCGACACGTAGGGGGCTCGCGCCCGTAATTATTTAATTATGGGCCTGGGCGCGGGGATGTCGCTGGTTTCTAGGGGCTGGGCTCACACTAATAGCTTGCACACTGCTTGACTGCAACAGTGTTCCGGCATTTTCAAGGGGGTTTCATTCTTCTTCAGGTTGCTTTTTCTACAATGGAATTTACGTAACATAGTTGTGATTTCGCCGACCACGCTCTGGTATCAACTGAGGCATCCCTACATGAACTTTGTCATCATCACGCCGGAGTCCGGACTTTCATTCTCTTCCGATAACGACCCGAGATCGGGGCGGGGCTCTGCCACCGTCACACTTTGAACACAGTCCGCCGCCCAAAGTACCGAAGTAGGGCCGAAACGGGTAGGCACGGCAAGGGCCGGAGGAATTTGCTGACGACCGAATGTGTGAACCAGAAATCATTGCTGGAACATTTTATGGCCAGAACCCAGCTGGCGTCTCGGACCGACCGGGAGGTGCGTGAGCAAGGCGCACTCGCGCGCCATGCAATGCGGCCATGAAAAGCTACTTCAGCTAGCCTTTTCACAACCCTATTCGCCGCAGGTTTCTAATATCCCTCAAGGCCAAGTCTGACTATCCACATATGGCTAATCATGTCTTGCCGGAGACAAATCTGCAGTCAGCCCCGTCTCGTGAATCAATGGTGGTTACGTCTTAGGCGTTTTTTATACACGCAATATGGGAATAGTAGGTAGCATTGAGGTCATCAAATAGCGGACTTAAGTCGTATCATAGATGTAGTGATTGGGAGGTATGAAGAATGAAGGATACATTCGAACAGTTGCGAATATGCCAAACCCTTGATTGCTGCTACGACATGTTCAAGTTCATTGTTGAAGAAGAAAACTTTGGGTGATGCCATGCTATGAGATTTAGTCGAAAGAACAAATCACAATAATTGCAAACTTCCAATACTATTGACTCAGAAAATGACCTGCTCATCATCACAAGGCGATTCTCAACACAAACGTACTGCCGCCAAAAGGAAGTGTGGCTGCAGGAGGTATGCAGCTCTCAAGGCAGGCTGGGAGCCTTGGCCCGCTGCTTGATAGTCACCCTTAAAATGGGTTATTTGGGACTCCCCCTACGTCTGCTTTCTAACTTCTCTGTCCTCTCTTCTTCCAAGTGCAACTGGTCCCTTCACATGACCCTTGCGCTTGTGAATTCCAACAACCATGGCCGAATCTGAAGCAGACGGCCAGGGCGGCGCGGTCGATCGCTGCGTTGAGTGCAAATCAAAGTCGAAGAAACTTTCCGTATGCACGGACTGTAGCAACAGTCTCTTCTGCGATGATTGTTGGGATCAATGGCGGCTTCATGGCCCGAAGGCGCCTCCGAACGTTACCCGTCCCCATGAGAAGTCCTTTCCACGTATCATCCAACGACTCCGCCAGATTCTGAAGCCAGACAGAACCAACGAGACCTACGAACAAGAATTGGAAGCTGACAACAACACAACATGGTTCGGTGTGGGCCGTGACGAGTCAAAGCCGAACACTTTCCAGGACTATGGTCGTTTTGCAGCCCTGCTCAGCCAAAGTCAAGCCTCCACGCAAGAGGAATTCTACCCTCGACTCGTAGCCTTTATCGGCCAGACAGGTGAGGCTTCTATTCGATGCTCTATGGCAAGAAAAATAGCTAACAGCTGGAAGGCGAAGGAAAGAGTACATTGATCAAGATGTTGATCAATCGCATTGAAACCAGGCAAAAGGGGATCGAGCACGCCTCTCCAGTCACGGCTTGGTCCGATAACTCAGCAACAACTGGCGACGTTCACCTCTACGCGGACCCAGAGTCATTTCATACCAGAGAACCAATGCTTTATGCCGACTGCGAGGGCATAAACGGCGGTGAGCTTCCTCCACGAGCGTTACGACAAACACTCGGGCAAGACGGGTCCACAAACGCTGCCAGTGGGAATCGGACACGTGGATCATCAATTTCGCATTGTGTGAGAGTGTTGAAAAGGTCTGTTCATGGATCTCAGCGAGATATCACTTGGGCAAAAGGCTCCGCAATGAACGTGCGAGTACATGCCGTAACAAGACTCTATCCACGGCTTCTCTACACATTCTCCGACGTGGTGGTTTTCGTTTCACAAAGTCCAGGGTAAGTACATGTAATTTTCTGAAACCCCTTTTACTTCCACTAAGGAGTTTCTAAGTACATTCGAGGCTACTATTGTCACAAGCTTATTGTCATGGGGCAAGTCATCAATCGACAAGTCTTTGAATCAACCGACACTTCCACACGCCGTCGTCGTGCTCAACGCAACCGAACCGGCTTCCGATGACGAGTGGGATGTTGACACAGCTACTTCATGCCTCATGGAGACTGTTCGTCAGGCCGTTTTCCGAAACGCTGACTTCAGAAAACACGCCGAAGCAATGCGAAGCACCGGCAAGAAAATTGAGACGACCCAAGACCTGCTGGAATGTTATTACGCGTCCATTTCTGTTATTCGAATCCCCAATGGACGCCAACCCAGACTTTTGCTCAAGCAAGTTCAGAGTTTACACGATCTATTGGGACTGAAATGTGGAGAGTCGTTTATGTCGAAAGATCGAGTACGCATGCTTGCCACTGCCGATCAACTACAGACTTATCTCCATTCTGCGTTTGATCACTTCTCTCAGAATCGTGACCAGCCTTTCAACTTTCTTAAGGATGCTTTGAAACAAAGACCCGTTCCCCGAGACTTTGATGGCTATGTAGTTGATTTGGCCGCTTCAATCAGCCGTAACTCAACCACCAATTTCTCCTCTGAGAGATTCAATACAGCTCGAATTTTGGGGACCATGGTACCAATGATCGCTTCCTGCGTCATGCTTGATACGGCGAGACAAAGGCGTCCGGGTACGTTCAGGTTTATGTCTACTGCGACATGGTTATGATATCCTTGATGCTTACTATCCATAGGTTTGGCTTCGAGGCTTCTAGACGATGTATACGTCAAGTTCTTCCGGACTGCACTCGACACGTTCGTTGAACGCTACGTTCAATGCAGCTACTCCGAAACTCAGCATGGTGAATGTTGCAATTTGAGATCGGGTCACAACCTCAAAGGTCACCAGAACTCGGCAGGCAAGATGTTCCGGTCAGGCGATTACGTGGCTGAAGAGGGCATCACTCAGTTCGAAACAGAATGGATCGAACAAATACGTGATAAGCTCACGGAATTAGAGAACGCCTTGATGAGAAGTGTTGTCGACGCCGACAACGGTCTGGGAGAACAACAGACCGAAGACTGTGTCGCAGCTACAATCCATCAAGAACAAGTGGCATCATTCTTTTCGACCCTGGGAAATGTCCAAAGCTTCGTCAGTCACTCAACCTGTTTCTGTTGCCTACGGGAGATTCCTGAACACGCTTTGCCCTGCGGTCATGTTCTGTGCGCCCCGTGCGTCAAGGCCTACGCAGCTCCCGAATCAGAATCATACATGAGAATGACCACTTGCCCTTTCCATCCTAAGGATTCCTTCAAGTTCCAAGGGGCTGGATGGACTGTTGCGATTAAACCTCCTTTCGCCGGGGCTCGCGTCCTCAGCCTGGACGGGTAAGAAACCGAATGAAACCGTGTAATACAACAACATTGGCTGACTTCAAAACCTAGCGGCGGAGTGCGTGGTATTGTAGAGCTGCAAGTCCTCAAAGCAATCCAAAGCAAGCTGGGGTCTGGGCTTCCGATTCGTCTTTTTTTTGACCTCATCGTTGGTACCAGGTCAGTTGAGACCCGACAACCGATCACAAAAGTAATATCTAATGAATTTTGACAGTACCGGCGGCATCATTGCCCTTGGTTTGGGAGTCAACAACTGGTCTGTGGACGAATGTATCAGAGTCTTCAAGACGCTCTGCGAGAAAGCATTCGTTCGCCGAGAGCTCGTTGGGGTCCCTATTCTGGGACAACTCAGTGTCGCGAACCACGGGAGCAAGTACAAGACTAAACCTTTTGAAGCATTGCTTCAAGATCAATTTCAGAAGGACAGGCTATTGTTTGGAGGGAACGTTTGCTGTGATTCGATGGACACCAAAGTCGCTATCACATCAACGGCAACGTTGGTCCGTCAACAGGCTGTTGTTCTTGCAAACTACAGAAGGCTAGGGCCTGAGGGACATGGTGAGACTGATTCTCGCGCATATTCATTCCATGAGAAGGACCACATAATTCCAGAGCCTAACACACGTGGCAAGCTGATCGTCATATACTGAGTGTGTGTAAAGTTTACATCACTGACCTAAATAGACTACCGACTTGTTAGAGCAAACAGACCGGAGCAAGAATTCAAGGTCTGGGAAGCGTACGTAACCGATCAATGATAGAATGTGGCTGCTCTATTGATGTCATTCTAACGAAAACGTGCACAGAGCTCGAGCAACTTCCGCTGCACCTCCCTACTTCGAGACATTTCCACGCCCCGAAACCAAGGATACCTACGTCGATGGGGCCTTATATCATAACTGTCCGGTTTTTGTCGCACACCATGAGAGACGGATGATCTGGCCCGACATTGCGGACTCTGTACCGGATATACTACTATCTATCGGAACAGGATTAAAGCAGCCCACCGATGTTGACGCCGGTGACTTGATTCTGCGCAATTCAGCCAGGAGGCGCTCGCCCAATTGGATATCCAGGATCATGGAGTTTGGGACAATACTCTTTGATCGAGTCGATCGAATATTAGATGGCGAGGTTACGTGGAACGAGTTTGTAGCGGAGGTGGTGGAATCCCGCTACCCTTCGAGTCGAAACCGACACATCCGGATCAATCCTAACCTCGGTTGTGCGATCCCCCCTCTCGATGCAGTAAAAGACGTCGAAATACTGGAGCAGGACGCAGAGAGATACATGAAGGAGATCGATCCCAAGATCTACGAGGTTGCTCACAGGCTTATCGCGAGCTCCTTTTACTTCGTCATGGAGCCTAACTCGGTGAAGCTTACTGCAGAGGGGTCTCAGTGCGAAGGTTCGTCACATTGGACCACGTCTTCTTGACTTTCCATTCGACTATACATTCTGGGCTAGTATTGGCTAACTTATAAATAGGTTTCATTCGATGCAGAATACCTAACGCACATGACTACATGAAGTCTCTCGGTAGACTGATAGCTAACTGCTTGGTACATGATTTTGAACCTCACTTCTCTATTGTTGAAGTCGGAGACAACTCATCAGGCGCTCAGGTTGTGAACTTCAGCAGACAAATCGAAGACATGCAGAGGCTGAATCATTTCGATGAAATCCCCATCCGAGTTGTATCTACGAGGGAGTCGTCGGCCACTATGATCAACCTTCATCTGCAGTCCACTCCGTATCCAGCATCCGCTTCTGGGCTGCCAATCAGCGGGTTTCCAAGGGAGTTGATGCATGCGAAAAGGCCCTTCCAATGTAAGAAATCCAATCCAAGGACTTTCAATTCTGTGGACAAAACGAAATTGCTGGCGGGGTGCTAATTTCACATCCACTCGCTAGTCAGATCGGAACGCCCATCGTCTTACTCCCAGCCGTCGAGGTCTGGCCCTTCAACCCCCTCATGCCAATCGTAAACAGCCACGAGACCCCGAAGCATGGAATTCAGGACAAGGAGATCAAAATCATTCGTTTACAGAAAGGGTTCCTAGCCCAGTTACTGTCGTTATCAGCGGTTGCGTGGCGCCTACACAAAAAATGAGCGGTAGGCCCGAAAGCTTCTACAGCAATTCTATTTAGCAATACAATTCGGTTGAACTAAATTGCCTTAATACAAGGACATTGACTCAGCTGTTGGCAGACTTGGATGTAAATAAGCCTGCAAAAAGACCTCTGCTCCGTTTCTTCATTCAAATGGTATGCGTTGACGAATGCGGCTGAGAGCATGCCAAAGTCGCTGCACAGCTGCTCTCATATTCTTAGCTTTTATGGAGATCTCTTCTGTGTACCTCGTGATTCTCTTCATGTACCAGTTGCACGGACCGGTGGGCGAGTCTGAGATTTGCCTTGTCTTCTGTGGGCAGTACACACTGCTCATTTGGACAAACAAGGCAAGCAATGAGGCAATACGACTGGTATTAACGGTTGGTTAGTGATGTTGTGGTGAAGGTGAAAGGTGGCTACGGTGGGCTGGATCAACCAGGAAGTAGATCGGGTAGCCGGTGCCTGGGGCACCAGCTACTGCCTCAGGTATCCATAGTCCCACACCGCCCCTCAGGCCACTAAGGCTAGCTACCGTAAGTGATATCTATTATACAGTAATAGGATTATCTATCCCTGGGCTGAATTGATCAAATCCGAGGAGTTTAACGATTTTGAATTAGGGGTTATTTGTTACGCCCGCCGCAACTTGTCACTGTGGGCGCGTAGCTATATAATGCAGAACAAGCGAAAATGATGCGGAGTCATCATTATCGAAGCTTTTGCTTTGTGCCACAGTTGGTTGCCTTGTCCTGCTTGTAACAAGGCCCTGTTCTTGGTCATGCATGTTGGGTCGTAACACTTAGAACTAAAGATTTTCTAGATTGAGGTATAGTTGTACTATTATTTAATATAATTTCTTTAATAGAGCCGTCTTTGATAGAGGGGGTAGGACTATGGCCGAGCCGGGTTACTATACGGCTCTGGCGGTTTAGTTAATTAAGTGAAATGATTGAAGAGCAATATGGAAGAGCAAAGTAAGAAGAAGATAGGTATAGTTAAACGTGTAATGTCCTTGTTATCCCTCCCTAGGGAAGGGACACGGTCTGAGCGTTCAAGTACACGGTTGCGTCTGGCACGTGACCGTGCTCAAGGAAGTAAACTAAGGGAAATGTCATAACTAAGTAAGATGATTTCTAATCTCGCCTGATTCCTAGCTTTCGATATATATCTATATGTTACGAGCAGGACAAGGCAACCAACTGTGGCACAAAGCAAAAGCTTCGATAATGATGACTCCGGCATCATTGTCCCTTGTTCTGCATTATATAGCTACGCGCCCACAGTGACAAGTTGCGGCGGGCGTAACACTATAATGTCTAACTATTTTAATAAAGAAAATCTCAATAAAGCTGACCCCCTGTTTTCATGGACCCATTTATATTTTCTATAGTGATTTCAATGAATCTGAGTCGGATTCATCGTTGTCTGTATGTTAGGCACGTTCATTAACGAGCGATAAACTAATAATTGGTTTAGGTCTGTTGGTTCCACGGGGTCGTATACGACAAATAGTGGTAGCAATTGTCACTCGTCTGTTGGTGATCCTATTGCTTGTTCTTCTTGTTTTTCTATCTTACATTGTAGGCAGGAGTCGGTCGAAGTAGGTAGTGACGGCCTGGGTGGTGTTACGGCCAGCTAGTCGTAGGGGTAGTTTGCAGAAGTTGAGGCTGCGGAACTGGTAACAGTAATCGTAGTCGTGGAATAGTTTCAAGGAAACTATGTCTGTCAATCGTAAGGGTAGGTAAGGCTTCGGTGATCAATCGTAGTCTTGTCAAGGTAGTAGCTGAAAGCGGATGTTAATCCTGATACGAAGTTAATTGCTGAAGAGCTATGGAAGTCTGTCCTAGAGTCCGGCTCGAGTCCATCCTATATACTAGTCCTGGTCCTGAACATATCCCTTGTCAATGATCAGTTCCTCTGATCGGGTGAGCGCTCATCGTTCGGGATGAGCGCTCATTGTTCGGGATGAGCGCTCATTACTTGGCATGAGCGCTCATGGCCCCACCATGGTCGCTCATGTCTTATCTTATCATCACGTGACTTGTACCATAGTTCTTCCGTTCCGTGAGAGGGTGCCTAGTGTCCCTTATCTCCTGCATATGTGGTGTATTATAACCGCCGCGAGCCTGCGGGGCAGGCCCTGTTCTTGGTCATGCATGTTGGGTTGTAACAGGTGGTTGCTCCACCTTTATCCGGGCTCCCAATAGGCTCACGGGTACCCGTGCATGTAAAATTCCACGGGTACCCGTGAAAATGACTAAGCAAACTGGCGGCACGGGTCTTGAGCTAATCGGAGGCGCGACTTAGGTTCTAATTATTCTTTTAATTTACGATTTAACCATAATATACTCTTCGGGTAGATTATCAGCATAAAACGCCTCCTGTTCGGCGTTGTCTCTCGCGACTCGATTCCAGATATCGCCCATACCTCTACTACTACTCCGAAAAGGGTTATCTCCCTCCTCAGCGAAAACAAGCTCATCAACCCGTTCCTGCTCAGCTCTGTCCCAGTCTAGATAAGCCATCATCTCTTCCTTTAGCCAATCTCTTGACCCCTTGGAGGTAGTACAGCGTCTATTCATCTACTTATATGTTACGACCCAACATGCATGACCAAGAACAAGGTCTGCCCCGCAGGCTCTGCCCCGCAGGTTCGCGGCGGCTACAGCGCACCATGTATGCAGAGGACAAGTGATGATAATGATGATGTATTTAACGTCTAGTAACAAAAGGACGTGCCGGGCGCTATGCCGACATGGTCTATACTAATCTAAACTATATTACAGGCTACCGTCTTCACCTAACGTTCCTGTTCAATGACTCGGGCAAATTTCGGAAAAGAAATTAGTCTCCTCTATCCATTCGCATAGAAGAGAGGCTCCCTTAGCAGAACCTAACAAGAAATCAATACTTGCTTTGGCCATACGTTGGCGGAGGTAGCGCGGTGTAGCCTTGCGTCCACGCTTGCAGAAGTAGAAATGGACTGGTGTCTTGGGTTTCCCACAGCTGCAGTTGAGCAACGCATCTTGATGAGCGAATCTCTCGTGGTATATGCAGAGGACAAGGAACACTAGGCACCCTCTCACGGAACGGAAGAACTATGGACAAGTCACGTGATGATAAGAGATAAGAGATAAGGATAAGGATATGTTGGATATGAGTTATCCAACATATCCAAACATCATCATCATCATCATCAGATCCTTGGATAACCAGGATATGAGCTATCCAACATATCCAAACAAGGACACTGTCCAGCACAAAGGACATGTTCAGAATCAGGACTTGTATATAAGGATGGACTTGAGCCGGACTCTAGGACAGACTTCCCATAGCTTCTTCAGCAATTAACTTCGTATCAGGATTAACATCCGCTTTCAGCTACTACCTTGACAAGACTACGATTGATCACCTAAGCCTTACCTACCCTTACGATTGACAGACATAGCTTCCCTGAAGCTATCCCCGACTACGATTACTGTTACCAGTTCCGCAGCCTCAACTTCTGCAAACTACCCCTACGACTAGCTGGCCGTAACATTATAATCAAGATACCACTCATAAGACTTCTTCCCATAACGCAGTAGAAGACCCATTACCCTCCGATACTCCTAGTTTATTTTAACACTTCCACGAGGCTAGGCGGCATACCAGGCGCTTCTCGCTACACAATATCGTTCGTTTATTACCTAGGTGTTACGGCCAGCTAGTCGTAGGGGTAGTTTGCAGAAGTTGAGGCTGCCTACCGGAGGGCTTTATACAATACCTAGCTAAGTACTACGCCATATATTATTCCCAAAAGCTCGACCGGTATTCGTATTTATTAATTGGCTTGATTAGATCTTAGATCCGAGAGATAATTAAGTAACGCGTACTTTATCGCTCGCCAAGCCTCGAACAGATCTAACGTAGATCTCTTTAGGTGCGATTTAAGCAGAGCATAGATGCCCTTAACCCGCGAAGTAGCCACGTTGCCAAAGTACGTATGCTAATTAACCCAGGCTTTCACTAGCGTCTCCTTGTACGGATAGAGCCAAAAGGACGTAACGTAGCCGACTTCTTTAAGATAGTCCGTAAGATAGCGTTCTTCGAAGTAAGAAACACGTTCCCGAAAGGTCATCTCAGACGGCGAGCTAATAATCAAATGCCAGGACTTGTAGAACTCTTCCTAGTTGTCAGTCGATGACTTTGGCGCTACAGGGCTATTAGTTGTCTTCGTCTTGGCAAGGTCGAACGCAGAGTAGCAATGCTAAAGCACCGCCTTGTTTACATGCCAGAAGCAAAGCAAAGATGCCGAAGATAGAAAGACAGCGGCTACAGCATTAATACATACTAAGCAGCAATATATAAGGACAACCGCAAGTAGGCTAGCGTTACACTGGTCATACAAGGACCTGACCCGCTCCAGAGCCCAGGTATAATCTTCTTCCGTTTCGCCACTAAGAAATACGAACGCGATATAAAAGGAACGCTAGTAAGCATCGATGCCAACTATATCAAGAAGCGGCATACCATACTTATTAGTCTTATAAGTACAGTCCAGCAACATTACGTCTAGGTAAGCTTATAAGATAGCCAAGGAATCTAGATAGGCGAACAAGACAGCTATAACGCGGCCATCTAGTACGAATTACATTCGACTCCAGAAGCCTTCCTCGTCAAGCTGATTGGCAAGTGCGTGGATTGAGGTCTGCCCTCCACGAACATCTCGTTTGATGGCTACAATATGATTATAGATATCCTGTTAGGTTACTACAGAGTTTATAGTTTGTCGTATGTATGTCCGGATATCCCTGGGCACGACGCCAGCATTTAATGGGCCGGCTACTTTCGCAAAATCCTCCTCTATCAGCTTACGGTATGTTAAGTGAGCAGACGGATGCTAGCTTAGGGGATGATTATAAGAAGAAAACCGTTTATCGGGGCGGTATCTTAAGCTCCATTTACTTTTATCTAAGGATTCTTTAGCAAGTACGGAAAATTAACAACCGGTTCCCCTATTCGTAGTTCGTCTTTGGCGCGCTATTGCTTTACTTGGGGGATGATACGACCAATCGTACGAATACGTAATTATCCGCCGTCTACTCTTCTCTTTAGTCGATCTCCCGGTCGTAAAGGCGTATCCCCTTATTGCTACCCAATTGTTAATTACCAATATGAGGTCATCGCAGGATTCATATTCGCTTTCAAGAGGTAGACAGTCGTCTAGGAAATTAAGTGCTGGATTGTCCGGGGCTGTTTCCATTCTTTTCAGAAACTTGTAGCCGAGTTGCCATGAGCAGAGAAACGTGTAGAATGACGCGAGACGCATTCGTCAATCTGTGCCGCCAGCTTACTTAGTCATTTTCACGGGTACCCGTAGAATTTTACATGCACGGGTACCCGTGAGCCTATTGGGAGCCAATGTCCAGGTCTGACAGGAGGCCTGGGAGTGTGCATTAGTCATCCTCCGGTGCGGGGAATTTTACGACGGCGCTTAACATGTCTGACCAACCGGTCCGTATCTCGTTGCCTCCGTTCCCGTCCGAATTAACAGTCCGTTTGAAAATGGCGCAAGCCCGGCTCCCGACTCTGCCTGCCGAGATTGTCGGGTACATCTCGCAATACCTCGAGTCGCCTGATGTGCTGGGCCTGCGCTCTGCCTGCCGTGCCCTGGCTGACAAGACGTCGGGGCCTTTCCAGGACCGCTTCTTCCGCACGCGGCATGTCATGCTCGAACGCCAGAGCCTCCAGAACCTCGTCGACATTTCGCACCATCCGGTCCTCCGCCGCGCCGTACAGGTCGTCGAGCTTACTACAGATCACCTGGTTACGCCTCCGGACTACCTAAGCCGAGCAGATTACAGTATATGCGGAATTAACGACGAGTATGACTGCGTAAGGCGCAGTGACGGTGAGACTATATCGTTCGGTGACGATGAGTATGACGCTGTCATCGAGACGTATAAAGCCGAATGGGGCGGCTACGAGGACTTCCTCCGAGCAAAGCTTGGAATCAGGCACGTGGTTCGCGCGCTATCGAACCTCCCTTGCTGCAGCGCTGTCGGGATTGACGACGGCGTCCGTCCCTGGGGAGCCTTCCGGCTCGGTCGTCGCATCGGCACCCTTCCAACCCGTTTCGTCACGCCCTTCCAGGCTCAGAGCATGGTCTTCGCCACAACGTTGATCCGAACTCTGTTCGCAGGACTTCTCTACGGCCGCCATACCATAGAACAACTCTATATTTGCTTTGGGCATCTGAAAACGGGTTGTACCTCGGTCACCCCACGTATGCTGTCGATGACGCCGGCGGTCGAGGAGACTTTGACAAATCGGCTGACTACCATCAAGACCCTGCATCTTGTGGTCAACCCGAACGACCACGAGAACACGTTTGGCGAGGATGCGAAGAAGCTGGTTCCTCGCACCGACCCAATCTGGGCTGGGGATTCAGATTGGTGTCTAGAGTTCTGCCGCTTCCTACGTATCTTCCCCACCTTGACCAACTTCACATTGCACTTCAACCCCCGCGACGAAAGGCAGCAATTTCCGAGGCTTTCCGAGGACCTTCGTATCCCCGGCCTGCAAAGCCTGTGTCTCCAATTCGTCGACTGCACCAAGGACGAGCTAATAATGTTGCTGGGGAGGCATCGCGATACGCTTCGGGAGCTGATCCTCGACACGGTTGATATCACCGAAGGGGGGCCGAAGACGTGGTCTTCGCTTCTGAGGAGTCTCCAGGATAGTCTACGTTTAGAGGCAGTCGTCTTAGAGAACTGCATGGTGGACGGCCTTTGGCTCCGTTCACCCTCGACGACATCTCCCGACCCAAGGCTATACGCAAATAGCCCTGCGGAGATAAAGTGCCTATGGTCAGTGTTAGATAAGATGGAGGACTCGGGAACGTTTTCATCGTAAGGACGATCTAATTATAGACGACGTGGTATCGATCGCCACGTAAGGCGTCAACCTTAGCTTTCACCTTGGCGACGGCGGCGAGTGGAGCTCGTCCGTCGTCGCGACGAGCCTGTGCATGCTCTAGAGCAAAGACTCCGCCACAATAGTGTAACAGGCTATTTTGCCTTTAACGATCAGAATAACAAGTATAACATACATACAACAATTCCAATAATTTCAGTTCTAGACTACTGTCGGAATGGAATATCGCTAGCGCGGTTCGGCCGGTCGTACCGATTCGGACCCGGGATAGCTACGGCCGAAAGGGAGGACCTCAACCCTGATATCAACCCCACCTCGGCCACCAGCCCCTAGATAGCTTTCTCCCCTCTTCACGTAGAATAAGGATAATAACAACAACAGTATTATCCCCTCCGTCACCCACGTTACCGTATATGGTTTATCGAATCCCCTGTGATTCCAACAACTACTTTACTAGGTAACGACATATCCCACGTTTGCTCTTCTATTATGAGTCTATCTGCACTATTCCTCTGTTACGGCCTACCTCGAACCAGCGTTGGCCACAACGCGAGGTGGCGAACCGTTGGCACTGAATGCTGACTGTCCACGGAGTTTCCCGGGCCTCGCTTAGCTTCCTTCTTATATCGCCGCCTTTTTCGTAATCATTTACCCAGTTATGCTCTTCACGACAGTGTCGCTGCATCACACTTACCCTACGATATAAATATCCACAATTGTGGCATTGTATGCCATCTGTGACGGCCGGCGCAAGGTGGGGTATTGGATTACTCGTTGGCGGTGGACAACGGACCTTCGCTAGGTCGGTTTGGCTCCGGACTATCCCATCCAGTGACTGTATGCAGCGTGTAATCCGCTTTCTCTCTGCTACTTTGATGCCTTGATGTTGGGTTCTTAGATGTGTATAGACCTCATCGCCGACAACGACATACCGAAATCTTTTGCATATGGCAAGCGAGAAATCCGTATTGAACGTGAATGGGTCTATTCGGTGTTGCTCCCGGGTTTGAGAGCTGCCGGAGTCCGGATTGTCATGCAGTAATTCCGGCTGTGCTTGGACTCCACCCACTTGCTGGAAGCTCTCTAAATTTGTCTGACTAGGTTCGGCAGTCTTGCCCCAACGAGGCCGCTTATTGGGATAACAGTCTTGAGCGTGAGACGGCGTCTGACCGGTTGCTAGCTGCCGTCGTTTAGGGCCAGTATCTTGCGCCTTGTCTTGAGGTTCTTGAGAGGCTGTACTTTTGGGCACGTCTGCTTGCAAGGGCTTGCCTGTGTCTGTCTGGCAGGCTGGTCTGCATGCCGAATGGCCGGAATCGTCCAGTCCGAGAAAACGGTGCCATTGTTTAGATACCCACGTATACCTTTCTAGTAGGCCGGGTTGAAGACTATCCGGGTATGCTCCGTCGAGCCCGTACGTGACCGCTCGCTGAAGAGGCCGATGACCACTCTGCCAGGCGAATGCCGCCTCGATCGGTGCTTCACGGCTCCTGTCGTCGTGTCTGTTGAACGGAGTAGACATATGTTTGAGGTGCCTTTCAGTGATAGCAATAGATAGCTGACGGTATGTCCGAGTATTTATAGGCAGCCCCAGAAGTCCGGCGGTGGCTCTAGCTAGTTCTTTTGAGAGCCTCCCAGTCGACCATGGCGCTGTTGGCCGGCAACGAGACGCAAACAAAATAGAGGTCTCCTTGTCATCAGTCGTGCCGAAGCATACTCTTCGGAGCATACTCGTAAAGGGCCTGATATAGACGAGATAGAGGTAAAGAAATTTTCCCACATTGTTCGGGAGGAATCTCGCCACCTGAAACTCGTTGTTTGGGATGTGACGGCTCTTGTGATGCCTCGTGATGAGAACGAGTGCTCCGGAATATACGTAGACACCGCGCGGCGTAGACGTCCCGTTCTGGTATTGAACGCTTGCTAGCTCGGATCCTCGAGCAGCCTGTCCGCCGGAGCAGAGCGAACAGCGCAGATAGCAGAGCCTCACTGTCGTCCAGGTAGCGTTGGACCCTGCGCGGTAGCCAACCTTCCTTGGACAAGAGGCCGTCGAGTGTGGAGAGGCAGGCCCGCTGCGATAGGCCTAGGTAAGCCTAGGTAGGCCTCATGAAGGCCGTTGGCAGGGTCTGAGACAAAAGAATAGCCTTGGTGGGTGTTCGCTATCCGATCCTTGGTCCTGGCTAGATCGAAGACCGGGTGCCAGTTATACATCAACCAGTCGACAGCCGAGGCCGTGTGATCGACCATGTCGTGCGCGAGAGACCGGAACTGCTGCAAGGATAGCCGCCCGTCGTCCCATGAAATGATTTGGCCGTCGTCGCTCCAGTGAAATCGGAAGCTGGGACCGTCGGCGAGAGACACTGTCCGCCCGTACGCGCGGAGGCTCAAGAACTCGCCAAGCGGCGCTTGCGACGCGAGGCACATCGTCTCTCGGCGGACCCGGTTTAGGATACTGAGCTGTCCGTGGCGTGGCCTTGCTGGGTACCCGACATAGTCGTGGCTGGTCTGGGGGAGTAACATGTCAAGTTGGGGTGCTGACGCAGGGTGGAAGCTCTCAGAGGCCAACTGCAGTTAGGGGTAGAATGATGAATTACTGAAATCTGCTCCTCCCTCGACGTGTACTCCCTGCGCTGTATATATATCTGAGCTGCTCCTTTGTTGCTTGGACTCCTTACTACCTCTAACTAGCCCCTATCCGGGAGGGCGTGGACATAACACCTCCATGATAACCAAGCGGGCGCAGTAGATGAACGCAGACAGATTTGCCGTGTAGTTCCCCGGGCGTCGGAACCCGGTCCCGTCGGACGTGAGGCCAAGGACACGGCTGAAGTAGACCAGTAGGGTCGACTTGGACTGGCCATCCTCAAACTCCTCCGTCATCAGAAAGTACAACAGACGCAGCGTGAGGTCTTCGAGAGCAGTTGAGAAGTAATCCCCCGTCAGACTCCGATCTACGAACTCGTATCAGATAAAGAGCAAGAGAAAGGGCACTATAGAGCCAACCTGAGAACGACAGAGACTCGGCTGCTGCGTCGGTTGACAGCCTGTCCTCTGTAGCATGAGTTCTGACAGACATCTCCTCACAGTCATCATCTCGCAAACACTCCAACCCTTCACTAAGAAGGTCTTCATAGTCACTGTCATCACCAGTCTCGGTAGCGCTTCCATCATCAACATCATGACAGTCACTGCTGTCATTGAGATCTCCACGTAAGCTCTCTAAGATTTCACGTCTGTTGTTACGGCCGGCTGAAAAGCTAGGTGCTTTAGCAGATGATATCCCCATTGCCCGTGTCCTTGTTCTCATCCGCAAAACACTTTGACTGTCCGCATCTGTTACATCTTCGTCAGCTGAGGCGGCGTCGGAATCGATAGGGCTGACAACGGGGGCGTCGTCCGGGCGTAATGTCTTCCAGATGCCATCCGACCAGAATGTTTCAAGCGCGTGCGACTGAGCGATGGTGAGTGATCTCTGGCAGTGCGACAGCCGCGTTCCCAGTAGAAGGCGCCATAATCGAATGCAGAAGCACAGAAGTCGTTTCACCGATCGGCGGTATTTATAAGTGGACGAGCGCCGGGCGACCAGCTCAAACGGCGCCTTGTAAGGGCGGTGGGGCTCCGAGCTGCGGAGCCAGCAACGCATGGAGACATCAGTGTGGCGTATTGTGTCCTCGCGACGGTCAAAAACGCCATCCACGGCCGACATGATATGCTGTAGTCTAGTTTCATCCTCTCGAGAGCTCGCATGGGGTATATCGTTCTCGCCGTCCCAGCGGTCCCGACCAAGAGCCGGCAGCTGCGACATCCTTACGAGAAAGTCGCGGCGGGCACCGTCAAACATGAGATCCCAGCCGGTGCGACGCATCCAGCCTGTCTGGAAAGCCACGTCGACCTGGCCTATAGCGGCGGTAGTGACACAGGGACTGCTAGCCAGGTGGGCTCGTTCGGCATGATGCGCCGCGGCGAGCAGGGCCTGTTGGGCAGCGGGCGCGGCCTGCGGTGATGGATCGCCAGCACCGAGAGTACCCATATCATCGCCGAGTGGCGGCAACTCCGACGTTCGCGGCTGTGCTATCCAAAAGCCCCGCGTACCGTTCTGTGACCAGCTCTGGAGTAGGACACCGCTGTGGATATGGTCCCGTTGCCAGCCGTCCGCCTTCCGCGAGTCCTTGATGCCGTGTGCCTTGGAGAGGTGGCGGCAGACCAGGTCATCGCTTGCCGTCCGGTAGCTGCAGTGGTGGCAGGCATGGCCGCGGGTGACCGTCAGCGCTTCATGCGGTGGGAGGCCGTCGGGACGGAGGGCGACGTCGTTCGGGTCCCCCAGTCGTAGGGACTTCACCAGCGTGCTCAGCCCACGGCGTTGCCGCTTGGGCACGTCGTGCTTCTCGGCCAGGTGGCGACTCACGCGCTCCTCGAAGGGCTTCAAGGCGTAGCCGCAAGGCCGGCAGATGAGGACCAGCTCAGGCTCGTTCAAGTGCAGTTGCAAGGCTTCCAGGCGTCGGCGTTGCTTACCTGTCAAGTTGTGCGGTGTCATAGGCCCGGGTAGCGGCGACGGCGAAAGGGGACATCGGAGAGCCATGTTCGCTATTTGTTGATTCAACCGGTCTTCTTAGATACTTGAATAGAGGTGTGATTTAAAACGGATTTTTTTTTCTTTCTTTTTCTATGTAGCAAAAGCTATCGACCTGCTCTCCTTTGTAGTTCATAAACAGTCAGTCAGGAGAAGAGGTTTTATTTCGGAACGCGTCGAGATTTTATTTGAACATGGAGACACTGAAGCGGCAAGTGGGTCCTAATCAGGTATTATCGGCCAATCAGATGCATCAGGGAACGCGTTGAGATTTCTAAGTCGGGCAGGGGGTGATGGGTGGGGCGACGGACAGGTTGGGCCAATGGTTGTACACGGACGGACGTATCTCGACGCGTTCCGACGGCGAATACTTGAGTAGGTGCTGCCTGAGTGAGCATGGGAAGATTATGTAATGATTGCTCTAGCGTTGATTGGTGCACTAATGCACGAGCCATCTTCACCCCATTAAATCGGTAAATACATATATATATAAATAGAGATAAGTAGTTACTAGATTATTAATAAAGATAACTTAAGATAAGTTCTGAACTTGCCTAATTACCAGCTTTCGATGCATACCTATATCGTCTATTTTAGCTAAGGAAACCTCTACCAACTCTACCCCTATAATCTCTATCAACTCTACACCCTAGTATTTACGCCCCATAATTATTTTCTATGGCGCTTTCTATGAACTCTACTACAGTTCGTCGTGTCCTAGAGGTTAGAGTAGTAAAGCATTGTGTTTTTCTTGGGCATATAGTGAAACCCTTGATGGGGTTGACCAAGTAACACGCTGGGATACGAGTGGATACATGACTTTTTACAGCCGCAAAAACTCTATTTCTCTATTTCTAACTGCAATCGATGTAACAATCAATTGTTACGAGCAGGGCAAGGCAACCAACTGTGGCACAAAGCAAAAGCTTCGATAATGATGACTCCGGTCATCATTGTCCCTTGTTCTGCATATATAGCTACGCGCCCACAGTGACAAGTTGCGGCGGGCGTAACATCAATGTAATAATCAATGTAATAATCGATGTAATAATCAGTCATGGTGGGGCCATGAGCGACCATGGTGGGGCCATGAGCGCTCATGCCAAGTAATGAGCGCTCATGCCGAACAATGAGCGCTCACCCGATCAGAGGAACTGATCATTGACAAGGGATATGTTCAGGACCAGGACTTGTATATAGGATGGACTCGAGCCGGACTCTAGGACAGACTTTCCATAGCTCTTCAGCAATTAACTTCGTATCAGATCTTATGATCGCTTTCAGCTATCTTCCCTGAGAACCTCTTTGATAAGACTACGATTGATCACCGCAGCCTTCCCTTACCTTACGACTTACAGACATAGCTTCCCTGAAGCTATCCCCGACTACGAATACTGTTACCAGTTCCGCAGCCTCAACTTCTGCAAACATACCTCACTACGACTAGCTGGCCGTAACACTTGCGTTTCTCTCCGGCCCTGGACCCTTGTGGTTGGTCTATGATATAATTAGTATTAGTAATTATTATATTCCTTAGTATGACTTACCTTGCCCAGGAGAGGCTGACGACATCGTGTTCTGCGGGATAATGTACGCGAGGAAGGTTAGCGGAAGGCTGGTGGAGGGCAAGCGAAAGTAGTGGCTTTTGAGGAGGAAGAAAAGTGTTACGCCCGCCGCAACTTGTCACTGTGGGCGCGTAGCTATATAATGCAGAACAAGGGACAATGATGCCGGAGTCATCATTATCGAAGCTTTTGCTTTGTGCCACAGTTGGTTGCCTTGTCCTGCTCGTAACAAAAAGCTGAGGTTTGGAAAGGGTAGAGGCTATATATAGAGGAAGGAGGTACGGAGGATTTAATTAAACCTAATCTAATTAACTAGTTAGTAGAAGAGAAATAATACGATTAGAAAGGTAAGGAGAAAGATGATTTTATTATTATACGTTCTAAATGAGAAATAAGCTGTTACGTATAAACACGGTTGAGGGCAGGTACCTCCGTAGTAACTGCCAATTATCACGACCCGTGGTACGTGCCTTCCGACTAGTGAATCACCGGCCTCTCTTTTTTTTTTTATGAAAAGGCCTCCTCCATACCCGCCTTTTCTCCTTTTCATACTTTTCCCCAAGCAATCCGAGGTAATTTAATTCCCGCCTGTCTTCTATTAGTACTGACAAAAATAGGGCATTATACATACTATGGCAGATTCCGACGCCCACACTCCCTCCCCTGCTCCCAGCATCGGTCCTCGCATCACTCCTCGCATCGGTCCTCGCACCCCCCCTACTAGCCAACGCCGCCGTATCACTGTTCGTAAACCGCAACGCCAACGACGCTTCAAGCCTGGCGGTAGGTTTGATTATTACATCTGGTTATTATATCTGTGGGAACAAACGGCAATCGCTAGGTATACACGGAGCCGAGCTATGTCACGTGTCTTCGGCACGTGACACACCTCAGCTCCCTCCTTCCATAGCACGAGCCTTCGCGTTTAGATACTCTCCTTAACATCAATAACAACAACAAGAACACCAGATTAACCCAACGATATTGCTACCGATCGCGATACCAGGAATACCTGTGTGACTAACCTGTGGTACACGCAAACCAACATATCTCTAATGTTTCTAGTGGCTGCTCTCCGAGATATCCGGAAGGTATCCCATCGAGTGCTGTTGGGCTACAGATACATTGCTCCACTCTTTTACCCACTCTTAACCCCTCACATCAGGAATATATGATAGTACGTTATTTACCCCTAGGAATCCCTGGCTTCCCTTCACTACCAAAATCGCCTATCTACATATGCTAATTCGTCACGATGGCCTTGAGCGACGATAGTGACTCTGAAGGGTCTGTATATTCCTGTATTAACGTTGCGATACTTCCTGAAGATCTTGTAAGCGCCTGTATAGCTGACTGTACGCCCGAGAAGTGTGATAGCGCGACTGTACGCCCACATGAACCACCTTCGCTGGAACGAGGTATACCAGGCTACTTCAGTTCCCTTGAAGTGCCCTATCGTAAGGCGACGGTACGAGACCTACCCGATACTCCATTGAAGCTATTCCAGCTGTACGTACCACAAGGAATAGTAGAATCGTGGGTACAATGGACGAATGAAGCAGCACAACAAGGTCCTGTTCAGCAATACTCTCGAAGCCGCTTATGGAGACCGACTTCTGTAGAGGAAGTCTATTTGTACTTGGGGATCCTCATTTATATGGGAATCCATACCGAAAATAAGGTATCCAAGTACTGGTCAACATCTCAAAAGAACGAAGATCCTATCCATTTATTTACCCGATTTATTTCTCGAGACCGGTTCCAACTATTATCCCGCCGCTTACGTATCTTCAATACTGCTGAATTTACTATGCCTGACCCCCCTCCTACGAAGAAACGATACCGCGGTGAAGCCCAGCCTCGTGAGGACCTTATGCCTAAGGTCTATAGGCAGGTGAACCAGTGTTCTAGTCATATACAGGAAGTTAGTAATGGCTTCTATCTACCTGGTAGTAACATCACCGTTGACGAGGCAATGGTACGATTCACAGGTCGTTCTATTGAGAAGACAACAGTACCCAGTAAGCCTACGCCAGTTGGCTACAAAGTATGGGCTTTAGCACAGTCTGGATACTTCCTACGATGGTTGTGGCACGTCCACGGAAAGGGGCCGTATGGTCTTGTACCACAACAGCGGCCACAGCTTCAAAGGGAAAAGGGGGTCGACGACAGCCTCACGCCCACTCAACGAGTAGTTACTACGTTACTGACCCTACTACCCCTTGCTGAATACCACGTTTTCCTCGATAACCTATTTGCCTCTGTAAAGCTCTTTCGTGCTTTACGATTAAAGGCAATAGGGGCAACTGGAACCTGCCGAAGGGATGGGGGAATTGATCAGTTACTTGTTAATGAAAAGCAAGATGAAGGGAAGGGTATTCCCTGGGGTCAGATCCACTGTATCCCTACAAAAGACGGTCAGGTACGTAAGGCACATATGTTTTCATAGTATTTCTATACTGAAGGTTTGTTCCCTATATTTCCAGGTCAATTAGCTAAGCTGGAAAGATAATGCCTTGGTACTTTTCCTCACAACTGTTTATCGCGACACTGAGCAGATACTACGGAACCGTCGCCGGCCTACCAAGTCCTCAGCTGCCGCTCGTACCGCCCGAGAGGTCTTTGGTCCAGAAGCCCAAAAGAAACTGCCTATTCCTGTATGGATCGATGATTATAACCATAATATGAACGGCGTTGATACAGGGGATCAAATGAGATCTTATAACCAGTATGGGCGGCCAGTTCGACGAGGGGGGTGGCAATCCCTTACGTGGAACTTTCTCTTAGAAGTAGTAGTTGTTAATAGCTTCTTTCTCCAGCTCTGGGGCGAGCCGGAATGGGCTCGGGCCAACTCTCAGTACGAATAGCGAAGGACCCTTTCCACCCAGCTAATTCAGCACTTTGGGCTATTAGTTCATGGGAGGCAACGGGCCCGGCCCTAGAGGGCCACTGATACAAAAGAGAATTCCATTCTATAGCAACAACATACGAGGGTATCACGGAAGCCCTCTGCTTGCTTGTCTTGTAATAATTAACGAATAGTATTAGGCGAAGTTATACGGAACTTGCGAAGAGATAGGAGAAAGAAAACGAGGTTAGGATGTAAGTAGTGTGGGGTTGCGATTTGTAACTTTGATGATTGCTGGTACCTCTATCACACTCAAAATATATAGGCAACCGAAGTACCTTTCAAATAGGGCCATTGATTGGTCGAGAAAACTCTTGGCTGCCCCTGAGTGGTCAGGATCCCTTCTGTAAATGTATCTGTAGCCCAACAGCACTCGATGGGATAGCTAATTCACCCCAGCGCGCAGCGGCAAACCGCGGGGACTGGGGCCCCTCCTTTGCATGGCACTAACAGCCCGTGCCAAGCTGGAGAGATGTTTCGTGGAGGTTGACTGATTACTTTGGTCATCTTAAACTGCATGTTGTGATTCAGATGAAGGTACTGCACTGTTTAAGACAATGGATTCGTTCAGGATTTCCTCCAACCCGCCACTGCTGCCCGCTGCTGGAGATCCTATTGGGTTATACCTAGTCTACGCACCTGACGTGGGACCTCCTTGCATTGATTTCGTTCTTGTTCATGGCCTTGGTGGTCGGTGTCGGAGCACGTGGACTTAGCCACATGACCCTCGATGTTTTTGGCCCCGGGATATTTGCTCCCAAGAACCGTTTCAGATGGCTAGAATCTGGACATTCGGATATCGTGCGGATAATCTCAAGAAACCATGGCGCAGGTCTTCCGCGGACATTACCGACTTCGCTAACATCTTTCTCCTTCATCTGAAGCAGGAAGGGTTGAATGTATGAGTGAGACCAGCGAAACGATTCCAAGCCCACTCGAGCTGATGACCATCTTAGCTACCGATTATTTGCTTAGCGCATTCCTTGGGCGGCATTGTAATCAAACAAGTAAGCACTCCGTCGCTGCGACCTCTGTCATTCGCTCACACATATCAGGCTTGCATTAAAGGAGCCTTGCACAATGATTATCGAGATATTGTTGATTCGGCATGCGCGGCTTTTTTCCTGGGGACTCCCCACAGGGGCTCTCGTATCGTCAATACGCTGATCGATGTCATGAAATTCGTGGGCATCAACTTTGAGCCCTACCTCATTGCCCTGCGCGATTCTTCTCCTCAGCTCCACGATGTCCATGAGCAGTTCAAACCTTTCATGAACAAGATGGAGATCAACACCTTCTACGAGTTGGACAGAACCGGCCCCTTTGGCATTGGGCGAGTAAGCCAGCACTAGATCATGGCGATAGGTTTGAGTCGCTAACCGGATCCAGATGATTGTCGACAAATCATCATCCATTATACCGGATTTACCGAGCCAGATTTTGATCCCCATGGAAACAAATCATCGAGATATAGCACGGTTTCCGAACATTTGGGATCCTTTACCACAAAGGCTGATCTCTCGGTTAGGAAGGTGCATTTACCAATATGGACCATGGAACACCAGCATTCGGCATCTGAATACGACACAGAAGCTTCGAATTGTCGAAGACTTTCTCGGCATTCAGAAAGCGATGGACGATTTACCGATGCCCGCCGATGCGGAAACAGAGCTTTTGACTTGCAAATGGATTCTTTCACACGAACTATTCCAAGCGTTTGTTCAAGACAAATCGTCAAACTCGGGAATCCTTTGGGTCCAAGGTTTTCCAGGCTCGGGGAAATCACGACTAGCGTCTTTTCTCATCAGAACTGTTGGTTCACGGGGTCGTATACGACAAATAGTGGTAGCAATTATCACTCGTCTGTTGGTGATCCTATTGCTTGTTCTTCTTGTTGTTGTTCTATCTTACACTGTAGGCAGGAGTCGGTCGAAGTAGGTAGTGACGGCCTGGGTGGTTGCCCCACCTTTATCCGGCCGTGATGACTAAGCCAGTTGTCCCACTTCGCCCAGGGCAGGTGCCAGCCAGCCCATGGTACCTTCCCATTACTCCTTATCAGCCTTTGCTGTTCCAACAAGAACCTTCAAAAGTCGAAACGAGACGTGTCATCACTTTCGTTTCCGAGACGATGATATACACAAGCAGTCTTTCAAATCTTTTGCGAAATCTTTGGCATTTCAGATGTCTTGCGAATCTAGACAATTTCAGGATCACCTTGTCTATCTTGCGTGCGCAGGCGAAACGCTAAGCGGATGTTCCAACCAGGTAGCCTGGGAAAAGCTCATTTCTGATCCCATGTCAAAGCTGGATGATGCGATCGAAAAACCACTCTTTTGGGTCATCGATGGTATCGATATATGCGATGAACCGAGTGCAATCATCAGCACGCTGCACAGGGGTGTGTTGTTCAAGGTGCCGCTTAGGGTGGTGGTTTTCGGTCGTCCATCTCGGGAGTTGGAAAAACTCGCGAGCGATCAGGTTTTGCACATCAATCTCAGCGACTCCATGCAACGCCGTCAGGCTGTCGAAAGCTTCGTGGAAGAGAAGCTTGGCCGTTCAAATCCAATGGCACCTCGTGTCATCCGGGCAGCAGACGGCAACTACTTGATGGCGAGCCTGCTTCTGAGCCAGTACTTTCGTCACCCTGGCGACTTTTCCATGGCGGAGGCGGCAGGTATAGCTCAGATCGAGATGTCTTCAGTCTGGAACTCTTTCATAACTAACGAGGCCCATTTCTGGTCTGCGGAGGAAGCGTTCATTGTTCGTCAAGCTCTGTGCTGGCTGGCGTATGCGAAGGTTCCTTTGGAGATCAACCAACTCGTCCGAGGCATCGTGGATCTTCATGCTTTCGACAATTGGGAAGCTGGATGTCATGGCAGATGCTGCAGATGCGTTCTTGTGCTTCACAGCCAGTTCCCCCAAGGTTCCTATACCGGGGCGTTTCACTGAAATGTTGCAAAAGTGGCCAATTGAGATGTCCAGATTGCTGAGTAGATTTGGAGGCCAGCTCCAGAAGTATCCAAAGGCCATATTCGACAACGTACCGCTCTTTCTACCTGGATCCTCTCTGTTACGCTCTCAGCTCAGACAACCACGCCTTCCCAGTCCTACGTTCGTGGAAGGAGTCGCTCACGAGGACTGGGATGATGTCCATGCGCGCCTTACAGTTGCCAGGACACCCAAGTCAGTCCTTTGCACTTCTCGATTGGTTGCTATCTTGTCGCCCTCGCCACCAGGTGAGGTGTACGTATTGTCAGCCTTACAGTATCGGCGTCTCAGGACAATCGAACATGGGGAGAGCATCGCCATGATGTGTTTGAATAGTTCCGGGACAATGTTGGCGACATATGGTACTCGCACGGTCAAAATTTGGCTGGTTGAAAAGGACTGTCCACCGTGGATATTTCCTGCCCTGGCTGCAACGCGCCCATTGGATATCGCCTTCTGTACCAACAATCTGTCGGTTCTTGTATGTGCCGCTGATGGCGATATATGGAGGTTTTCAATACCCATCTTGGCCTCAGGTGAAGCTAATGCCGCGAGATGCCTTGGTTCTGTAGCCATGCCGGGAACAGGAGGCGCGGTATCGAAGCCGCCCAAATCTATAGCATTCAACGTTGATGGGAGCATGATTGCAGCCATCTATCATGATCTTTCAGTTGTTTCATGGCACATCTTAGAGGATGGCGGTCGTTTGCATCGGCAGCGACAACGAAGGTTGAGCGGACTGTCCGCCCCTTTGTCAAACCAGTCTACGAAAATTCGATGGCTTTCGAGCAGCAAGACTGTGATTCTTCTGTGCCAGGGCTCCATCTGGACGTGGGATGTAGAAGCACAAAACATTCGCCAAGTTATGAAATTTGGCGCCCAGGATGTTGGGGGCAGTTCGGGGCGTCCATTATTCATCACCAGCGATGGCACCGGGATCTTGAGCGTCAGGCGACTTGTTGGCACAATCGTGGCCTCCGGTACTTCGGATGACCGTCATCTTATTGATTTTGTACTGTGACCGACAGGTCGCAGGGTGTACAAACTCTGGAGAAGCCGATGCGACGTCTGGTGCCCGATGGCGTTGGTTCTGCCTGACCAACGTGCAGATCTTGTTCGGCCTGATGCGGCGGCATCACAGGGCCAGTCCTGCTCTTCAGGAGAAAATGTAGAGATTCTCTGCATTAGTCCGCGCAATTCTGTGCTCTACACGGCACACCCGCATGGGAAAATTCAGGCTTTGACCAAGAACGGTGAGCTCATCACTTCGCATCAGCCAAAAGGGTCTATCGCGGCCACCCACATGGCTTGTGGAAACTTTGGGCAACTGGTGAGTCGATAGCAAGATCCGCCAACTTCTGTTCAATGCAGATGACCGCATGGTCTTGGTCTCTTCCGATGGCGGGCTGCTGGTTTGGTCTTTCTACGAACAGACGCACGCCGCTTTCCAAGTCCAGATCAACAGCCCTGCTTGCTGGATAAACCATCCCACCGATGGCAATTAATACCTCCTTGGTTTCCTCCCGACAAGGCTGATGGTCCTGGAATGGAAAAGCCTCACGACCGTTGTGGAAACGGAATTCGCTTGTTCACAGCAGGCCGCCGACGACAATGACCCCGTTATCCCGCAACGACCAACACCGACGAGAACAGGCCGTGTGACCAAAGTCAAGCTCGTGGACGAAGATTCCCGATTTCTCGTCGAGAGCAGACAGTACGGCAACAGCGAAGCGCTTAGCCTGGCATACATCACGGTCAGCGACGTCAGCGCCTGTATTGCGAATCACGGATTTCCCGTGCAAATCGCGGAGTATCAGGACAAGTTTACGCAGGGTCTCGGCAGATTCCTCGGGAGCGTTCGCGCACCAGAAGACGCTGTCGACAGTCTTGCTTTCCTAAAGCACAGTGGTTGGCTGTGTACTCTGTCGGGTAACGAGAGTCTCCGAGAGCACATGTTCCTGCCCCCAGACTGGCTTGATCCTCATTGTCTCGACTTGGGCGAAATTGACAAGGACGGGACCTGTTTGTTCCAAAAGGCGACAGAGTAGGCATAGTCCGCAATGCGCTGCAAATGAGATTTTCCAGAGAAAGCATTCACGAATGAACGAAGGAGTCTGCCGATCCAAGGGACGAGAATCGGTTTCGGTTGGTGGAAGTGCCCAGTCTTCCCGCCATACTGAACAGCGCGCAACAACCATGATACCTACCTGCAGCGGAGTAGAAAACATTTATTGCAACTAGCCGCTTCCTTACCCCTGATAGGAAGATGTTTTTTATGCCTGCCTGCCTGCCTGCGTTGGATCCTTCGCAAGCAGCGAGCTTAAGTACGGTCTCAGTTGAAGAGACACGCCCCGCTCTTGAAGCGCGTCGGGTTTGATGGCGTCGACGGGCTGCACATTTCAGGCCGAGCCGCTGGGCGGGAGACAGCCCTGGGGTGCACTCGGCGGCCTCGGTCGCCCTGTGCCGTCGCTGCTAAGCTTGGCCCAGCAATAATCTTTCCCACGTCGTGCGCTAGCAGGCACTTACGTGAAGACTCTAGGGGCAGCATGTACACTAGTGGTTAAACTGAAGTACTGTGAACTAGCTGGTCTGCCGCGCTGCATGGCTTCACGCGGGCACGCATCGGACTCGGTCTGGCTCCTCGGCGTGGTCTGTTAGCGCTCGCCTGACTGCCAATTTGGAGCCTGCAGGGGGATGTCGCCCAAAGCCTCCCTCGCACGGCCATCCGCCAACTGCCTCCAAGCGGGGGGCGCACGGGTACTCCCTTTCAGGTGTCAGCTACCGCAAGATTACCCATTTGGGATAGTTGTTCTCCACCGGCAAAGAGCCGGCCCCTTGATGCCGTAAACACGGGCCCCATCGCGCGTCGCGACCAACATCGTGTCGTGCTACAGCCTCACGATTATCAGATCAGTCACGTCCAGAAGATCTCTTCTACGATACCTGACTCCGAAATGGCAACCTCAAGAGAGAACATAACTCTCCCTCCGTCTTCATCTCAAGCCCCGCCTCCGGCATCACAATCACACTTCGCCACCTTCGACAACTTTACCCCCGATGACAGTGCGTCCTTTGACCACGAGTTTGCACGCCTAGCGTCGTCTCAAGAATGGCTTCCCGGCTCGCAACAGTACACTAGGGAACGCACCATTGCCATGCGGGAGGAGTTGGAGTCGCATTACTTTCCCTCAACGCCACCTATCATCAACAATAACAAGCGGACGAAACGGCTCATCAAGGAGCAGCAGCTGAAGGGCTACCAAGATCTGTGCCGTGAGATCAGCTTGCCCCTGGGCGACTCTGTTGACGAGTGCAAGAAGAGCCTGAAGAGCACGCTGGTCAACATTGTGGACCTTATTGATGCGCGGCGGACGCACTCGGCAGTTAGGGTTTGGCAAGATTTCGACGCATTTCGCAATTATACGCTCCAGGATGAACATCGGATAGACAAGGAGGAGGCCAAGAAGGGCGAGGGGATCCTTGCGTCTTTGCTGCAGAACTTTGGGCTGGGGCAACGACAAAAAGGAAGACGAGGAAAGAGGAATGCACCCGTACACAAAGTAATCAAAGCGCGAGTGGGCAGGAAATGCCAGCGACGAACACATAATCCTGTGCTGCTGTCACGAATGCAAGGTCCGTATGTACGCCGTAACAAAATATCGAATAGTTAGGAGACGCGACGAAGCCTGAAGCTTAGCATTCCCTCTTCCCCTCGCAATGCATAGTGTACGGTATCTAGAAGTCTAATGACCATAGGTGACTCTGACCGAATCAGCTACGAGATTCCCACAGAGCCGAGGCCATCCTAGACTCCTCGATAGCCGTAGTCCGTGTTTCTCAGCAAGGCTCTATCGTCCCCGTGAGAATGTCTGCAATCGGCCTGCCTTCCGATGCAGTAGCCCCACTCAATTGCTTGCAACTGTCCTACTTTGACGCTGACTTCTGGTGATTCTCCCCCCTTGTGTCCGTATGTTCTCGTCTTCTCTTTGGCAAGACTTGCAGGCAAAATGGTCGGGGCAGTGCGGAATGACGTGTTCTTCGTTGTTCTTGCGACTGATCCTGCGGCCTTTCCGAGTCCTCCATATCATGAACGATCGCAGGCCAAGATTGTAAGCTTACAATAGCTTGGGTCAATGTGAGCATACGATTGCGTTTCGCCGCTGCTTGTGTTCCGTTTTTTGTCGCTACCCGAAAGACTATTGCAGACCGAGGCGCCCGTGTAGAAGCAGTCCGGGATTGGCTCGCCTCGGGGCTCTCTCTCGATAGGCGTCGAGGGCCAACAGGGCTGCGCGGCCACGAGCACACGAGATACGCCTGGTGCAAGGTAGCAGATCACGATTGGAGAAAGCGGAACGATGACTTGGAGTAAACACTTAGGAGGGTGATCTGTGGGATGGCACGAAAGGCTGTATTCTGCTGTTTCGACATTGGTTCATTGCGGCAACAGTCGTCTCCTTACAGTGCAGATGAAGAGTTTGAGTTTGCGGCTCCCGACGTACGACCGAATCCATCTTAACCTAGCTTGTGTAACACAGTTCTCAACGAAAGTATCATATTCCCAGCCACTCCAGGAACAAGGCCAGCGGCCAACTTGGCCTTGATATTCTGTCTTTCCACATGCTTCAGTACCTCTTTCGTGGCAAAAGACGCAGTCTCGGATATTGACTTTCCAATCACCTGCTGAACGCCGTCAAAGTCTCCGCAAGTCTTCCGCCAAACACTGCTGAATCTATCGTTGTTAACTCTGCCCAACTCGTTATTCAGACAATCTGAAAGCCTAATCTTCAGAAGTTCGTCTCGCAGCTGGCTTGGAAGCATGTCGACTTCGTCAGCCGTCTTTCTCGGATATAGGCCAATCGATTTCAGGGCGAGAATCAGCGACCCAAGTTGCAGACGAATGCAGTCACATCTCGAGTTTCTGCACTTTGACCTATCGCCGAATGGGCCGGCCATGGCTTGCGGACGATCCGGGCTAGCCAGTAGTGCGTCAAGATAATCGTACACGAGCGTGAGCAAGGTGTTGGTCATGTCCTTCCTAGCTTGGAGGATGCTGTCTTACACGGTGCGTCAGTCAACGGTATGTCGGACACAAGGAACGACGCTTACCTTCCGTGCCTGGCGGAAGCATGGCTGCGTCGGTCATGCCATCGCGTTCGAACACGCCCCAAGCCTGACTTTGCGCCACGTGAGAGCTACCGAATGCAAGGTTCTTTCCAACGTGGTTGAAAACACTAAGCAGACCGTATTCCCAGGCAATCCACAACCAATCGACTTCGCTTCCCTTTTCATTGACCTTCATGCTGTGCCAGCTCAACCAACCCGTCAGCCATGGCACGACGATATGCGTGATATCGAACTTGTCTGTGAACACGGCGAGGTCTCTCAGTCCTCTCAGGCTCAGAATCGCAGGGACGCGGTCGAAGCGCAGGTGAATGATGTCCATGACGATCAACACCGCCTGAGTGGCATCCTCCGTGTAATCCAGTGTAGCTGTCTCTCCTCGCCCTTCTGCAAATGGGCCTGACAGCAAGGTTGCCCACACCTTGGACGCCCGTCGCATTGCGTCCGAAGAGACAGAAAGAGCATGGCGTCCAGTGGATTGTTCGTTTTTGACGTGGATGGTGATATCGCCATGGTCGTAATTGAAGGCCATGTCGGTCGCCGAGTGACTGGTGTTCAGTTCGGCCCTGGCCAAGTTTGTACTATTTGATGTTAGCAGGACGGCGTTGCGCAGGGAACGTTGCTCGAACTAACAGTGACGTGGCTTTAGAGCTGAGTTATCACCCACGACATCGGTAGGTTGGCAGTTTTGATGGAACAAAGCCTGCCTGGATATCAATTACTCCACGCCGCAAATACTGCACCTCTTTTCCTGACCTAGCTCAACGTACGACCTGCTTTGTTACCAAAAATCCTCAGTGACGTTTAGGGGCCGGAAAGAATATGCGTTGGTGGTACTTGGGGCGCGTGTGACGACCTCATGCCACCCAGTCGGTGAGAGTACTTTAGCGCCGATAACAAGGCACGCTTTTACAGAGGCGCCCAATAGGTGACCGAAGGTGCAACTTCACCATGTCACGGCGCAGTGACCCGGTGGTTCTGGCGCGGACCACGCTGCGGCGGGGGCTGCTTTTGGCGACGAAGTGGTATTCCTTGCTTCGCGGCAAGCTGCCCCGTTGCCGCTGCAACCACATTGCTTCTTCGAACCTGCCGTCTCAGGTGACAACTCGCTCTTGGACACCTTGCCTGGAGACCGCCGTCGGGCTAGACCCGTCGGGCTAGACCCGCCGGGCAGGGCTGGCAGGCGCCTGGTGATAAAACGTCAATTTACTGTTTCCAATCTCTGCATTGCGGCAAAGGGTACGTACGGTACGTCAAGGCGCATCGGATGCCGCAATGTTCACCGGGAGGTCATGCGCGTCGGCAAGCAGTGGGAAGAGATCCGCTTCGGTCGAGGTACATGGACTTTCTGGTACTCGGCGGTTCGCTGCTACCCTAAGATACCGGAGAGTGCCCCCCTCCCCGTGCACTACTCGCCACCTGATGTAGCGTATAACACTTCGAGCCATGACCAGATGGCGAGCGGCTCTAGGGGTGTAGCCTGGGGCTTTCGGGCTGCCTACGAATTCCCCCTAGCCGTGGAGGCAAACTGCGACGGATATGCGTGCTAGCGGCCGCTACAGAGGGCCTTGTAAGCTGGCGCGCTGACGGTTAGGGCAGCAAAGCAGCGGGGCGGGCCGTTGGGTAACAGCAGCACCACGCAATCCAATGCTAGCGGAGCCGCCCCGACTTGGAGGGAGCATGCCACATCTCCACATCCAAAGAGTGTTCCGAAACCAAGCTCTGCGTGAGATTGTTGTGAAAACCGGGTATCCCATGGAGCTCGCCGTGTAAACGGGAAGAAGGTGCGGCGTCACGAGTTCTGGGCCGCGATTGGCGCGCCCATTTGCGATTGGACGTGTGCATCTCGAAGCACTGCCGGAAATCAACGCGCCCAGTGACGCAGCCTTCCAACCGTCTTTGAGGCCCCGGTGATGAGCGTCCTGGAAGCTAGGGCATCTCCCGACTGTTTGCTCTCCACCGCCCTCGCCGCAGCGCAGTCAGTTTGTGGGCATCTGCCGCACCCCTTCCTGAGGCATGGGCCGACCAACAAGCCCTTGTATGAGGCTCACTTATGACACGCTTGTTTGAACAAGCATGATCGCGTGCGAACTAGCTTCCATGCAATGGTAGTGTTCTATGTACCGAAAGGCGCTTGCGGGAGCGCGAGATGTATCCTAATCAAGTGGACCTGTCTGACGCGACTAGATGAGTTCATATCGACTACGAAGAGATTATTGGAATTTCGCTCTGGTCGAGGCGTCTACTAATGTGACCGCTTCAGGATTGAGTCGAACGGCGACAAATGGCGGAATTCGGCTGGGGAGGAACACTATGTGTCTATTCGGTGGGCTTGCACTGAACCATACTACATACTCTGTACACACTCATCGGGAACCACTCCCCACACGAACCACTCGCCAAGCGCAGAGGATTGAGCCATTTCGAGTTCCGCCTGGCGGCCAAAGGTTCTCATCATACGAAGCATTTCTGCACGGGAGAACACCCAAACATTAGTGTTCCGTTGGAGCCGCACATGCGCTATGCGGACTGATTCTGGTCTTCGATAACCAACATGAGAGACGTACGTTTTGTCGCGTCTTCTTTGTTGCTCGCGGCGAGCATCCTGCAAACTGTCGAAAAAGGATATGAATTGCGAAGGAGTCGAACTGCGCCAATTCAGATGATTCCTCATTGCAGAGGGTGTAATGACATGCCAGGAATTGATAACATAGGTGTCGGGATCTTCACATTGAATGCCGATGCCATGTAGATAAGGCGTGCGAGAGAGGTCGTCGTACACGTGAAACAGGTCCATATAATGTTCATTTGTCCCAAAGCGGTGAGGTCGGAAGGTCTCTCGCAATTGTTCCATTGAAGATAAGTTGCGAACTAGTGAAAGTGGTAAGTGATGGCAGCTGCAATTGGGTAGACATCGTCATCGCCCGACGGTGCCGAGAAACGTGCGGAAGCCTTAATTACTCAGCCTCTCGCTCGAGTCGCTACACCGCGGCAGACGACGCAGCAGGGCGCTTCTCCGGACGCCGTCACGTTTACTGGAGGGAAACAGCCTCTGAAGACATGCAGCATATCGGCAACGGTCAGGCAAGGCATGGCATAGCGCACGGCTTGCGCTAGTGGACACAGGCGGAGGTATCCGCCCTTTTTTGGTCGAAGTACTTCGGATTAGTGCCAGCCGACGTGTCTGTTCCCCGTGGAGGTTGGCACGCATGCGACTTTCGCAGGCACCGGCAGGGCTTCCTGCTACGGCGGGCTGAAGTGGCTACTTGGTCTGCATAGCTTTTAGCCTCGCTAAGAGTAGAAGGGAGATTCCAACCGGAGGTTGGGTGGGTAGTCGAGGTCTAATTGTACTCCCTCGAGGTGGCCCATGCTCTGCCCTTACTCGCGGTCGAATTGGACTTCCAATCCGACAGACAGAGATGAGATAACTCGATATGGGGCTGGCTACATTCAACATAGAACAGCTTCGTCCAGTGTATGAGCCGGGATTGACATGGAACAGGAAGAACCAAAGAAAGCCTAGCCAAATGATAGCATTGATCACGGTAAGGGACCGCATTTTTGTTGCAGAGTGCGGCCGACTTTTCTTTGCTTACATACTGAACTCCAAGTGTCTCATGACCAGATCGTCGAGCTCTCAACTTCTCAAGGTGTACGTAATTACAGCCAGCAACGTAAACTAGACTAGATACTATGATGTCCAGCAATCAAAATCCACTGCAATATTACGATGAGAACCATACTCAGTAGCACGCTAAACAGGCATGATCTCTTCCACAAAGTCTCCTTCTTTCCAGCTGCCTGCAGTGCCTCTAGCAGCAGCTGCTTTGAGGCAAGCTCGTCGTTGATAACATCTTCAAAGGTTTCTTGATTATACATGATGACTGCTGGTCAGGAATTGACCAATATGAACCGAAATCTAATGCGACAATTCGACAGCCGAAAGATGATGTAGGATATTTATCAGCACTGCCACGACTAGGATTTCCCGAAATTTTTATACAGCACGTGAGACTACTTTATATCGCAAATTACGAACACCGCCTCAATGGATTTCTCGGCCCTGTGAGCAAAGGAACCTCTAAACGATTACTAATACTGGAGTTTGATAACATCTCTTTCACGTAGGGCGCGCTCTGATTACTGCTGGCACGGCATAGTCTCGCCCACGTGTGACTAGCGAAGAGAATTGACCGTGCATGAGTCATAGGCACAATCATCGGTACATATCTCGTTATTACATCCTGCCACAACGTGGTGACATTGTTCAGATTTACATAATGAAAGTTGCGCTTCGGCAAACTTCAACATAGAGAGTGCGAGGTTTCGTAAATCGTGGTTGTCTTGTTTCATTGGCCTGCCTAACAAGTAATCAAAATGGTGGAAACGGGAGGCAACATCCTGTTATACCCAGCTAGGACTCAAGGCCACCCTCGCTTGCGCTCCCGAACTAGCTCTGCCGCGGGCTATCCTTCATCATCTCCTAGCAGCCCGATCAGGCCATGGAGACTTCGAACAATACCACCAACGCTTTAACCATACAGAAGCACTGCTTACCTGCTCCTGCGGGGAGGCAAAGGCGGTAGACCATCTAGTCTACTGCCAAAAGACCCTAGTGAGGAGGCATCAGTGGCCTACCCTCCACCCTTCTAGCCCACTCGATCCTATAGGACCTATAGGATCTCTTGAGCGGTACTATAAGGGGTTAATTACTGATCCTATTGGCTTCCAGGCCTTTCTCCGGGTGATAGACTTCTTCCAGAAGATCTGCTCGCAATACTAGCACTTCAGCTTACGCAAGAGTGCTACCTAATGGATGTTCCCTAGCAAGGGACGGAGTAGACAGAAATGAAACCGGGGCACCAGCGGGAACCGGAGACAGACAGAACGCGTAGTGGCCAGATAGCTAGACATGGAGGACGGGAAGGCAGGACTATGTACGACAAAGTAGGTAGACGCGGCCTACGGCCCTCCACGCCACATACCCTTCGGGAGGTCTGCTGCAAGGGCGGTTACGCCCTTGCTGCCATGGAGTTAAATACAACAACAACATGTGGGTGTGGGATGTAACATGGACCCCATTGCTACCCTCAGGCCTGCACACGTGCTACTGAGCACTGTTTAATAAAATCAGGCTTGCGTCGTCGATATCGACTACGTCACAAATTTCCACGTCAGCCTTCGTGTAAACTGCCGCCATCTCCATATTGGCATGCTGTGTAATGGAGCTGTGACGAGCAACACTTATGTTGTAATACCTAAAGTTTACAACCGTGTATAGTACAACATATTGGAGGGAGTATAGGTGGTGCTTACGACATAAAATCCTCTCGTTACTCACGTAGGAATTTGTTTGGTTTGAAAACGCTACGACATTGTGCGTATCACTTAGCCCACAAATCTTAAACTAAATCTGTAAATAGTGAGAGTTGCAAAGGGCAGTAGGATCAATATTGCAACTTCCTTTGTTAACTGAGAATCCTCAGACGAGCAAGGGGGGGTTCTTGTTCCTCTAGCTGAATCTACGTGTCTCTTTGCCTGATTTATCCCTTGAAGACCTTGATGTCTTACCCTGGTGCAGAGCATAGCCAAGAGCCTCCCATGTGACGGGCTCTGCCTGTCACTAGAGTGTCTCAAGGGAGACACGTCACAAGACTCAGCTGCCGTGAGTTCTTCAGTGTTATATTGATCTAAGTTGTAACTCTAGGATACCTGACACCAGTATTGACTACCATGAAGATGTTGATCCTGTCACAGATCTCTGCCTGCCTGTCCTGTTTTGACTACATATATGTGAGAGCAATATGGAGTGCTAACTCCACATCCTAGTTTTTGCGCCTTTGACGCAGCGGTAAAGTAGCTGAATGCTCCCAGCTGTCCGACTCGTAACAGATCCTTGATCACTGTACGCAGTTGTTACGCAAGCAAAAGCTTCGGT